ACTGGACCATAGCAAGTCCAGGATAATGCTAGCAAAGCATTTGAGGTGCCAAGTTTGGTGGAACATCTCAGAACAGCAGGGTAACTGTTAGAAAGGGCACCAGTAGTGGAGCACATCAAGGGGAACCTTCATATCGTTGGGAGAACTTTCATATATTCTCAGAAATGCAACAAGAACACAATCACGAATCTCTCGCCAGGCTAACCTCTACCAAAAGGACACGAGAGCCAAGACGTTCGCTTGTATGTACCTAAGGCCCTCCGAAGTATCAGTGTACCAAAGTATCGGTGATCCCACTCAGTGCATCCCCCAAACAACCCAACTCTCAACCACTCAATGACCAACAGATGGACCAACTGATAATCTCCTACCTGTGGAAGATGCTTGTGAGGATGTCTTCTCTCTCTGTGGGTCCCCTGCTCTCTGCTCTAGACAGGGAGTGTGCAGGACTGCTGCGACAGCGACAGATCTATTCAAATGAGAGAGGAAGGAAGTGACAGCCAGCGCACCAAAGCTGAAACAGGAACGTAGGTCTTGATGGCTTTATAAGGCAATCTGCCAGTCAGCCTTCTCGCAAGCAAGGTGACGCTTTCAAAATGTCAAGGCTTCAAGACACTTCTTCCAAAAAAGTAGACTCAAGCAGACTGAGATGAAATAGATCGTCTCCAGTAGACCGAAATGGTGGCCATGCTTCATGAAACTGGAACTATCAGTGACGGACAACTGATCAATGATTAGTGTATGTAAATTGCTGGAGCTTGACCTTGGATTCACTAAAGGTATCTGCCTAGTGAGCGAATGCAATATTGTATACTGGACCTCATTATACAAGTCTTCCTGGTGTCCTTCAGAGGTTTAAAGTACAGCTGAACCACCTATGAAACCACATAGTGCTGCAACCCCAAACAGTTCTCTAACCATGTCGTCACCACTTGTAGCAAGAAATGGAGACACCAGCCTCAGTTCTTGTAGTGTCATTGCTCTTGCTCCTGGTTCTTGTGTTCTAAATATTTGGAGGTGATGCTGCACTTCGGTCAGAAGTTCTATTAATGCATTTGATAACATTACAATAAATCTGGCCTTTGACCAGACACTGTTTGGGTGGTAGAGCTTTCTCAATTTGATACAAATTCCAGTGTTTTTACTCCCAAATTTAGACCAATTCCACCAGTTAGCTAGGTCTCCCCATCATACGATGCTGCCAAGCTGGGAGGGTGAGGGTAGGATCACCTGCTTCCTCATCGTCAGACACATCGTCATTGGGCAGCTCCACATGCTTGGGGAAGAATGCTAACTGCTAACTGTGTTACGTCAGCTAACAGATGCCTGCGTTGGCTGGCATCTCACTGAGTGATGGAAGAAATGGAGGACCATCCTCCCACCCAGAGACAGAAAGGAGTATTATGTTCTCTGGACTGGAGGCCACAGGTGGCAGCGGCATCACCAGGGACTAAAATTATGGTCTCTAAGCTTAGACAGTCACTATAAAGCACACTTTTGAGTGCTGAGGGTTGTTAGCAATAATAGAGACACCATCGCTGGTACTGAAAGGGGTAAAAATGACATCTCACCATTTCAGTTCCTTTATTTAAGACCTAAAGCTGAGCTATGTACGTTTTGGGAATTCAGAGACATCGAAACCATTTTGTAAAGTGGGTTGTGCTTCAGAACCGTCCCCCAACTGGATGAATCTGAAGATCACAAACGCATTTAAAGAGTATTCAAAGAAAACTCAGTCAAAACTTGGTGAAGGACGTGTCTTATGAAAGGTGTAAGTGAATTATATACTGTTGTCATCAGATCTTCATTGGTGTAAAGTTGACTTTTCATCTGAGACCTAAATATTGAGCCGAACCATCTTTTTTAAGCCTGTGCCTGTGCATGTGACGTTTACAATGTAAAGATGTATGATGTGGTCAGACTTTCAGACTTTACAGGTCGACTTGCAGCAGCGCACACACAACATATTTGGCGTTTTTCCCTCCTGACTCAGTAACGATACTTCTTTCAGTTTTAACAAACAATAGTGCAGCTTAAAATCACATTAAAATCAACCACAAATAAAATATTTTCCCTGTTACCAGATTGACCAGGTCACTGTTGGCTCTCTGAAATGTTGTGACTCTGTGTTGAGCTGCTAGCAAGCAATGATGGTGGAAGAGGAGTCAGAACGTCCTGCTGTGAAAGCCATTCTCACCTCTCTACAAAGACGGCCAGGCGGAGATAAAATGGTCAGCGCAGCTTTCTTCATATCGAACAGTCCAAAACAACTGACCCAATAAAAAAGCCTTTAAACACAACAAAATCTTCAGTTCACTTATAGTTTTGTAAGTCATACATTTCAATGTTGTTAACCCTTTACTGCATGGTGTTGCCATATGGCAACAATTACATTATCTAAATTTTACAAAAATTAGTAATATGAAATTTGTGTTTTCCTACTTAATTGTGGAAAAAGGGTCTTTTACTTTAAAAGGACAAATACTTTATGACATCACATGACCAGGAATTCTTATTATGATGTTGTTATTACCATACATTGCGAATACCAAATGAAACTGTATTAATTTCCAATATTTGTAAATATTGGGTCATACATTTTACTAAGTATAAGATGGATTTGTTTGGTCTTGTTTTCAATAAAATTATGTTTTTAGAGAAAAATTAGTTTTTATGTTGGATTTTATGGTGCTGTGCTATTACTGCGCATTGTTGCCATATGGCAACAATTTACCAAATACCCCACTTTAAAAATATATATTTTTTTTCAAATATTTCCATTATTTAAGCAATTTTAAATAACAAAGACACATTAAAACATTTTTATCAGTTTAAGTAATAATTCGTGCAATAGAGGGTTAAACAAAGAATGTGGACTTCAGTTGAGGGACCTCCAAAACTGACGGAAATTGGATTTGGTTGCTGCTGTGAAAACGTTCACCACGCCCAATGGCAAGCGTGGACTAGAGGGGTATAAAGCCCCCGCCAGCATTGGGCTGTGGAGCAGTGGAGCTGTGTTCTCTGGAGTGAGGGAGCTCCATCCAGTACCTTTGGGATGAGTTGGAGTGATCCAGAACTGACCATCCAACATCAGTACCTGACCTCTCTAATGCTCAATCAGATCCTCACAGCAATGTTCCACCATCTAGAAAGCTTTCCCAGAAGAGTAGAGGTTGTTACTGCAGTGCAAACTCACTATTAATACCCTACATTTCATGATGAGCTTTTTGTCTCTCTGTGATTTCTTCTCAGAGACATCATAAACATTGTGATACATTCTGTGCAGCAATGTTCTGACTGTTACTGTTCACCTACCATTAAGCTGTAAAATGTGCTCGTCTCCCAAAGTGGGAACTGAGATTACACCAGCGCCAATCTAAGCAAAGCATTCCTGCAGGACTTCCTCCAAGAGCTCTTCTTCCAGGATGTGGTCTGGAAACTGTAAAGCATATAATTGAACTATGTTAAAAAGCCTTGTATAGTATTGTGGTGTACCACCACTGGCTGCACTGCCGCAGGAGCGTGGGAGGCGTGGCAATGCAAAGCGGTCATGCAAAGAGGCTCTCAGGAGGTGCCACACATCCTGTACACTCCTTATAGCACCAATAAGGGTGCTACGATGTCAAGCTGGTAATCATAGAAGGCCCTTTTCGGTGCTACACAAAACCTTTTTTTAAAAAAAAAGGTTCTACATAGAACCATCTACAACACATTCTCCATCAATCTGAAAGAACCACTTCACCGAACAAAGAATGCAAAGCATTCTGTGAGTGTTCACAGTACTATACAGAACTATTGTCTTTACTAAAGAACCCTAGAAGAACCGTGAACACTCACAGAACCTTTTGCATGGTGTTCTTTGCATTATAAAAACGTTCTTCAGATTGATGGAAATGTGCTACAGATGGTTTTATATAGCACCCAAAAGGGTTCTTCTATTATTACAAGCTTGACATTGTAATAATGGAAGAACCCTGTTTGGCCCGTTTTCAAAAAGGTTCTATACAGAACCATAAAAAAGTACATTCTCCATCAGTCTGGAGAAACATTTCACAATGCAAAAAAAACATTTAAGCATGCAAATGGTTCTTTGAGTGTTCATGGTTCTATATAGAACCACTGTCTTTACTAAAGAAGCCTTGAAGAACCATCTTCTTCAGAGTGTATACAACCTTTTTTGAAAATGGTTCTAGAAAGCACCAAAAAGGGTTCTACTGTTAAAAGCTTGACATTGTAAAAGTAACAGAACCATTTCTTGGTGCTACATAGAACCATTTTCAGAATTTACAACACATTGTCCATCAATCTGAAGAACTATTTCACCATGCAAAGAACTTCTTACGCATGCAAATGGTTCTATATAGAACTCATAGTACATACTAAAGAACCACCCTCTTTAGTACACTACTAGTGTACTACATTACTCTAATTAGATGAGAGAACCCATTTTCAGCAGAGAAACTATAAGTTTTTACGGTAGCATTTTTGGTTCTTTCAGTACCAGAGTGTATTTTGGTTCTGCAGGCTGCCGTTAAAGTGCACAGGTGTTAATCATTACTGATTAGCCGCTCGTAAACTCGGCTAATCTCTCCTTCTCCCAGCATACAGACGTGTGTTTTTATCACGATAACATAGGCTGAGTCTCAAATCGCTCCCTACTCCCTATGCAGTGCACTAGATTGGTCATAAAATCCCAGCTTCTACACCACATTAGGGCATTATATGCTGAATAAAAAGCCCTTTATGTTTATTCAATAGCAGCACGTTTTCCTATCTAACATTTAGACCACTATTTATGCGCAGAAGCCATAGTTTCCTCACCTATGAAGTGCACTAGGTAGGGAGCATGGATGCATTTGGGATTCAGCCATAGTATTAGAGGGTTTCTTAACCGTTACGCTCTGCCTTACTTGGCCTCTATGTTATAAAACGCAAGGTACGATAGATACTTAGCCTCTCGACTACTGTGTATCATCGTATCCGGAGCTGAGAGTGTGTGGTTGGGTCTGAGAGTGCGGTACTGAGGTTCTGCAGTTAGACTCTTCTCTGAAATTACCAAATGAAGCTACAGCCGGTTTTAACTTGCCAACGCGGTTGGCGTAGATTACAGCGCGGTTGCCATGGATCACAACGTAGTTACTGGCGCTTTCTACGTAGTTGCTACAGACTCCCGAACGAGTCCGGCAGATCCAATACAGAAACAAATCAGTGTAAAAGTGAGTTTTGGAAGTTTATCAGGTATTATAATAGATTAAATTCGTGTTATAACAAATATATAGCATTTTACAGAACTTACAGCGACAAATATGGTCCGACTCGTGTTTTCATCGCATTTCTTTACATAGTAGAGGCTTCAGTGGACGGTAGCTAGATGTTTTAGAATTCACCTGAGAGGAGAAATAAGTTGTAATTTTACTCAGTTAAATTTGACTCAGGTGAAAGTGAAATCCGCGTTAAATACTTCACTGTACTGGCACTTAAGTATACTTAAGTGTCCTCAGTGGACTGGGCTAAAGTTGGCTTCTTATTCGAACTTTCCGTTCCACCTTAAATGGTGCAGCAGTTGCGTAACCGACAGGCGTCAGAAAGGCACTACTGCACTGTTTAAGGTGGAACTGAAAATTAGGGTATGAAGACAACTTCAGCGTTATCGTAAGTGGTCAGTTTCTAACCACAGAGCAGCTCCTGGCTTAATATTTTGGCACAGTCTGTAGTTGTACACCTGTGTAGTGGACCTGTAAGGTAAGTAGAGCTCATATATACACAGAGAGTGGAAGCGCAAGCCAGTTGTTTCTAATAATGTGGCCAGTGAGTGGACGCACAAATTGGGTGTTTCTGATAAAGTGGCCAGTGAGTGGAAGCACAAGGTAGGTGTTTCTAATAACGTGGCCAGTGAGTGGAAGCACAAGGTAGGTGTTTCTAATAAAGTGGCCAGTGAGTGGAAGCACAAGGTGGGTGTTTCTAATAAAGTGGCCAGTGAGTGGACGCACAAGGTGGGTGTTTCTAATAAAGTGGTCAGTAAGTGGAAGCACAAGGTAGGTGTTTCTAATAAAGTGGCCAGTGAGTGAAAGCACAAGGTAGGTGTTTCTAATAAAGTGGCCAGTGAGTGGAAGCACAAGGTAGGTGTTTCTAAAAAAGTGGCCAGTGAGTGGACGCACAAGGTAGGTGTTTCTAATAAACTGGCCAGTGAGTGGACGCACATGGTAGGTGTTTCTAATAAAGTGGCCAGTGAGTGGACGCACATGGTAGGTGTTTCTAATAAGGTGGCCAGTGAGTGGACGCACAAGGTAGGTGTTTCTAATAAAGTGACCAGTGAGTGGACACACAAGGTAGGTGTTTCTAATAAAGTGGCCAGGTAGTGGAAGCACAAGGTGGGTGTTTCTAATAAAGTGGCCAGTGAGTGAAAGTACAAGGTGGGTGTTTCTAATAAAGTGGCCAGTGAGCGGAAACACAATGTTTGTGTTTCTAATAAAGTGGCCAGTGAGTGGAAGCAGAAGGTTGGTGTTTCTAATAAAGTGGCCAGTGAGTGGAAGCAGAAGGTTGGTGTTTCTATTAACGTGCATAGGAAGGTTATATTTTCCTGATAGCTGATAGGAAATACGTAATATTTACTCATATTTTAGCATCAGGACAGACATTTGCGCCTCTCTATCCTCAAAACGCAAACAATTAATGTGTATTTACTACAGTTTATGTGACAAAATATTAGGAAAATGTTATTCAAAAGTTAAAAACTGTATTTAAAAATAGTGGAGCAAAACTGTAAAGTCTTCAAACATGTAAAATATCAAGCAAAGTGTAGTAAAGTTTGTGGTCCGTTACTCTCCAAACCGCCTATATCTAGTGTAATTCTTTTCTTTTGCCTTGTTTTCACAGTAATTAGTTGGTCGTTCCAGATACTTCGAGTGATGAAATGACCCACCTTGTGAAACACAATGGCATCTGAACATATCCAGCTCCTGCGGAGACCCCTTCCCCCTAAAAAACTCCAACCCATCCTCAAACCATTAGCGAAGACCGTTCTCTCAGGTGAGTGCTGATAGGTGAACACTTTTGTATTATACAGTTGATCCGCAAACCATCATGATAGAGTAAAACAGTCAAAACATTTTGACTAACAAATAAATATAAAAAATTATAAAATAAAGTATAAATAATATCTCTTTGTGTCTGTTTTTAGCAAAAACTGTTAATAGATAACAGTGACATTCACTCAATTAACCGATCATCGTCAGATTTCTGCAGTTATCTAATTATTCAAATGGTCATGTAAACAGCACACTGATTTCTTAGAAATCCGATAAAGAGGCTGGATTTTAGCTCAGTAATCAGATTTCTCAGTGCACGTAAACTCTTACTCTGATTTCTTTCGGATTTCTCATTCTGAGCATGTGCGAAAACAGACGGCGGTACCGGAAATAAGCGAGCAGCGTTGCCACGAGACGCAGCAAAACACTTTCAGAGCGACGCTGAAACCAAATACATGCATGACGAAATAAAGGATTTAAATATTCTTCATCTTCTAGATGATGTATGTTCATATTTTCAGGTAAAGTGGTGCGATGTTTTAAACAAAAAGCCACAGCAAGTTTTACGTTACGTCACGTCTTCTTCTATGAGTTTATCGGCTAGTTGTAAAGCAGAAATCTGATTACTGCCTGATTCATGTAGACCCGGAGTTTCCCTGTTATCTGATTACCCAAGTGCATGTAAACACATTGATCGAATTACTGACAAAATCTGATTTTCTGCAGTTATCAGATTATTAAGTGCATGTAAACACTGTATAACACTCAGTGTGTTATACAGTGTCAGAAACCACATAAGTAGGTCTATTAGAGATCACTGAACAACTCTGCATGGTTTGAGGTGAGTGTGTTATGATTTTAGGTGTGCAGTTAGCATCATCTATTAGTTGTTAGCTACGTTAGCCTCGTATCTCCAGTGTAAAACTAAAGAAGCAAATTTCGACACCAAACATGTCTTGGCTGATCAGGTGGAACTGTGTCTGTAGCTTCAAGAGGTAAAAATGGTGACCAGAACGAAACTTAATGTAAAGCTTAGAATCTGATCCAGAGAGACAGTCTTATTGTATGAGATGTGAAATTAGCAGTGACCCTCTGGGGTCTAAGGTCATCTTCTCGATTATTCATATCTTCCTAAACTCTCCTTTAAAGGCTCTTCATATAACATGATCCTCATATGTTTCATATCAAAATGCTCCGTTATCTTCATCACTACTTTCCAAAACCGCTGCAGCAGCTTCAGCAGCTGTAAACTCTCTGCACGCCATTTCACAAGAGTCTCCGATGTGGACTGAATGAAGAATGAAGGGTTTCCGGTGTGATGGTCAGTCCTTAGTGACTTCCTGAGTGTTTCTCACAGAATGTAGATGCACGAATCCACCAGTTCCACACGGTGAGAGGCAGATGATGTGTATCTCAGCCCCTCTTCATAGGCTCATAACTCCGGATGTGAGTCACATTCGATCTCGTGATAAGCTGGAATGGAAAGGGCGACTCTACAGATTCAGGAAATGTTTGAACTGTAATAATTTCACTGTATTATTGCAAAGATAAAGAAACAGATATAGAAACATCAAATTTTGCACGTTCATGGACCCTATAAGGTTAAGAGCTTTCCCAAGAACTTTTATATGCAACCTGAAACAGTTTGCTTGACTGAGAAATTGAACCGTGGTTTGGAGTGTTCTGGCTGGTGGTGTTAACCACTGCACTATCCAACTTGCACAGTCTGAGGACAAAAAGGCAGGGATTCAAGGTCTCTTTGGGATCTGTCTATGCATGTGCCTGTTTTCAGACAATAAAGGACAGCAGTCTTATCTACTCAATTACAGTTCTAGATCTTAATGCATCCTCTTTTTCCTCTAGATGCGAGGATGGAATCCATTCCTTCGGGAGTCCACAAAAGCACAGAAGGAAGTGACTGGAGTTCCCGTGATGACCCTCTGTGGGATTTTCATCCAGATCTGCCCCGCACCGCTCCTACACCTCTCTCTTTCCGCTCTCCAACACCCCCCACCACTCCCCCTGAAATCACCAACTCTTTCCCTTCTCGGCCCTGGCGAACTTTCTCCCAATCCCTCCTTTTGGACCTGCTGAAAGATCACCCCCGCTACGCCCAGCCTCCGCCCTCCTTCCTCCTTAACGACTTCCTGGAATCCGCCCATAAGTTGGCCCAGCCTGGCCAGTTCCTGAGAAAAGCGGTCCTGTCCCACTGCAACTACAAGAAGCTAGTGGACCTGTTCCTATCAGAGCTGCACAGCGGGCATCAGAGAGAGGTGGCCAGTCAGATTCTGAGCTGGGAAGAGCTGCCACTGGCCAAACACAGGATCCCACAGAACATATGCGGTAACACAGATTAGCACAGCAGCCCTTCAGTTTAGCGACACTTGACTCAAAATAAAGCCTCAGTCAGACTAGAAAAACATGCAAAATGACAAAGGCCCAGTCCCATTTCTTATTTTTACCCCTACCCCTTGTTTTCGAGTGTCACCTTGCCCCTTAGAACTGAGTTACAAGGGGTAGTGGTTGAAATCGTCCCTCAAATAAAAAGAGCATCACTTCATTAACAGCTACTAGCGCTGCTCTGTAGGCGACCCTGCCAGTCTGCAGTGACAGCAGAGGAGGGTAAAGTTCAGCTCCTCACTGCTGGGCTTTAGTTACATTTAGGGAATCATATGCCTTCAAAGAGGGGGGCAATTATTTATTATCGCCCACCCCTAATTCTTTTGGGATATGAAGCTGAAGTCAGATATTCTGCAGCTTCTTGTTCGAATTTTCCTGTTCTACCTTAAATGGTGCAGCAGTTCTGATGCCTGAGGCTCCAGAATGTAACTGCTGCACCGTTTAAGGTGGAACAGGAAATTTAGCTAGCTAGCTACCAGGCATCAGCATACTGCTAGTGATTTTTTATGCTTGTTATGAAGAAAAGGATCATAATACATCGAAGCGACATTAAACTAAGATAATATAATGGTTATCATAAGTTTTTAACAGAGAAAATTCTCACATCTGTGGGTTTCTTTGGTCTCTTGTTCAGCCATCTCGCCGGTTTTTAAATTTTTTCTCATAACACTCTGTTTGGAGTCTCTGAAAAACCTCCGTTTGGAGGGTCATGTAGCCCAAACACTTCACCCTACCCCTGTATCTCAACAAGTATCGGGACACCCTACCCCTAGACGTGAACATACAAAACGGGGGGTAGGGCTAAGTGGTTGGGGCGAGGGGTGAAATGAGATTGGGCCCAACTGTGGCTTTTGAGTGTCATGTCGGAGTGGGCAAATGTCAAAGCAGTGCTATCACAAAAATAGACTCGCATGAAAAAAAGGTCAATGGTTTAGTGGACACAAAATCATTCGCGAGTAGATCGAATAGTTGTCGTGTTTACTGACTATTTTAATTTGTTGCAGGCCTAGACTCTACTAAATTTAGTGCATTATTTTGAAATTTTAGTGCTTTATGTGAAGTACTGTCCTGCAGAAGATGTTGGTCAGTGCTGGAAATTTGTTTCAAACTCCTTCAAAAATGTACTCAAATTTTTGCAAGTGGAATTTCGTTACCTGTGCGTGAAACAGTGCTTGTAGTGAATAGCTTCAGAGTGAAGATAAGTTTGTAAACATTTCTAATGTGTTCATCGTATTGTTCTGTGTTCAGAGCTGGTTGCGCTGGTTCAGATGGAGCTGCAGGCTCAGCAGGTGTGTGTGAGGCATGGTGCAGATGAACCTCTATACCAGACTGAGCAAAACTATGTGGAACTGTGGACACCAGGCAGAACACAAGCTGAACACATACAGCACAGCATGTGTCCAGGTAACACACTCATATGATCACAGTGCTGCACATTAAACTCCCACACTCACTCATAGCCTCAGTGTTTTCAGCTACTGAGTGGCGTAGGAAGGTCGTTCTCATTTTACTGTCTTTCAGTGTGATGCTCTCTTCCTCAATCTTTCAGTGTGATGCTCTCTGCTCTTGTTTAATTTGATAACATCTCCCTCTGTCATTCAACGTGATAGTCTTTCCTTTTAACGTTATGTGTGATGCTCTCTTCCTTGATCTTTCAGTGTGATGCTCTCTTCCTTGATCTTTCAGTGTGATGCTCTCTTCCTCTCTTGTTTAATTTGATAACATCTCCCTCCCCCTCCGTCATTCAACATGATGGTCTTTCCTTCTAATGTTAAGTGTGATGCTTTCTTCCTCTACCGCATAGTGTGAAACTCTCTCCCTCTATCATTCAGTGTGACTCTCTCTCACCCTGTCGTTCAGTGTGATGCTCTCTTTCTCTTTTGTTCAGTGTGATGCTTTCTCCCTCTACCGTATAGTGTGATACTCTCTCCCTCTATCGTTCAGTGTGATGCTCTCTCCATCATTTAGTGTGATGCTCTCTCCTTCTGTCGTTCAGTGTGATGCTCTCTCTATCATTCATTTTGATGCTCTCTCCCTCTATCATTCAGTGGGATACTCTCTCCTTCTATTGTTCAGTGTGATGCTCTTTCCCTCTATCATTCAGTGTGATGCTCTCTCCTTCTACTGTTCAGTGTGATGCTCTCTCCCTCTATCATTCAGTGTGATGCTCTCTCCTTCTACTGTTTAGTGTGATGCTCTCTCCCTCTATCGTTCAGTTTGATGCTTTCTTCCTCTATCATTCAGTGTGATGCTCTCTTGCTCTATTGTTCAGTGTGATGCTCTGTCCCTGTATCGTTCAGTGTGATGCTCTCTTTCTCTATCTTTCATTGTGATGCTCTGTCCCTGTATCATTTAGTGTGATGCTCTGTCCCTCTATTGTTCGGTGTGATGCTCTCTCCATCATTCAGTGTGATGCTCTCTCCTTCTGTCATTCAGTGTGATGCTCTCTCCATCATTCAGTGTGCTGCTCTCTCCCTCTATCATTCAGTGTGATGCTCTCTTCCTCTATCATTCAGTGTGATACTCTCTCCTTCTATTGTTCAGTGTGATGCTCTCTCCCTCTATCATTCAGTGTGATGCTCTCTCCTTCTACTGTTCAGTGTGATGCTCTCTCCCTCTATCATTGTGTGATGCTCTGTCCCTGTATTGTTTAGTGTGATGCTCTCTTTCTCTATCGTTCAGTGTGATGCTCTCTTTCTCTATCGTTCAGTGTGATGCTCTGTCCCTGTATCATTCAGTGTGATTCTCTCTTCCTCTATTGTTCAGTGTAATGCTCTGTCCCTGTATTGTTCAGTGTGATGCTCTCTCCCTCTATCATTCAGTGTGATGCTCCCTTCCTCTATCATTCAGTGTGATGCTCCCTTCCTCTATCATTCAGTGTGATGCTCCCTTCCTCTATCACTCAGTGTGATGCTCCCTTCCTCTATCATTCAGTGTGATGCTCTCTTCCTCTATTGTTCAGTGTGATGCTCTCTTCCCCTGTCATTTAGTGTCTCCTTTCATCATCCAATTTTATGCTCTGTGGATGGCAAGGATGGCTTATTTTCCATTCCGTGTAATTCTTTCCTCAGTGGTCACTGAGATTCTCTCTGGCTTTGTTACAATTTTCATCCACTGTTTAGTGTGATGCTCCGTAAGTGAAAAGGATGTCTTTTTCTCTAGTTGCAGTCTGTTCTCTGTTGTTTCCTGCTCACCCGTCTTTCAGTGTGTTGCTCTCTGACCTTGTTTCCACTTCCTCTGTCATTCAGTGTGAGGCTCTCTTCCTCTATTGTTTGGTGTGATGCACTCTGGGTGAAACACGTATGCCACTATCGTTCTGTGTGATGCTCTCTGACCTTGTTTCCACTTCCTCTGTCATTCAGTGTGAGGCTCTCTTCCTCTATTGTTTGGTGTGATGCACTCTGGGTGAAACACGTTTGCCACTATCGTTCTGTGTGATGCTCTCTGACCTTGTTTCCTCTACATCTGTCATTCAGTGTGATGCCTTCTGAGTAAGAAGGGTGGCTTTGTTTTCCTCTATTGTTCAGTGCAACAGATGGAAAACAGTTCAGCCATTCCACCCACCTCCCAAAAAAATAAAATAAAAATTTGTTCGTCTAACTGTGCTCCTCATCTCTTTCATTTTTCCCCACCTCTCTCTCTCTCTCTCTCTCTCTCTTTCTCTCTCTCTCAGTGAATGAGGTCATTTTGAGCTCTTTCCCAGTTAAACACTTCCAGGGTTTCTGCAGATCATCTTCACCATTCCAGCCTGCAGCAGAGTGTGTGATGATTACTCTCTCGGAGCTTGCCATCATTGAGTGCCTCACGCAGCACAGCACAGCCCTCAGCCTCAAGGTGGGTGTTGGTGTGTGGTTGTACATGGGCAGTCAGGTCAGGATCTGGTCTTTAGCCAGAGCTGTACAATGTCAAAGAAATACACTTACTAAAAATGCATCCATACATTGGGATGCAGTGGTATGCAAACAGCAATTTAACCTGAATGATTTTGTAATGTTAAAATCTTTAATAACACTGGGCCTCGTTCATCAATATCCTCCCACGTTTGTTCTTAAATGTGTTCTTGAGAAAGGGCCTACGAAAAAGTCTGCGTCAGATTCATGACGTGCTCTTAAAGCGCAGAACTGTTCTCACCTTTGAACAAATCCCAAATACGAAAACACTGGTGAATGTCGGAATCTTCATCAAATCTTCGTAAGTGTGTTTTAAGAAGAAATTGCATCTTAAAAGGTGAATGGTTGGTAAATGAGGCCTGATATCTTTATTAGCAATATTCAATAAAGAATTAGCTCTTTAAGGCTGCATGATTAATTGTAGTTTTATTGTTATTATAATATGAGTTTACTTGATAGATACATTGTTATGAGCTGTGATGACATTATGTTTATTCTCACTGCTTACCTGCAAAAGTGCTTTAAACATGATGATTATTCTCACTCTCACTGTTTGTAAAATTTGCAAAGCAGTAATGGCTACTATTACAACAAACCGGCTTCAACTTAATATATATACACCGATCAGGCATAACATTATGACCTTGTTTCTACACTCATTGTCCAGCTGTCTACAGTTACAGACTGTAGTCCATCTGTTTCTCTGCATGGGTCAGTCTCAGCACTGCAGTAAGTTAGTACAGTAAGTAAGCACTGCTGGAGTTTTTAAACACCTCAGTGTCACTGCTGGACTGAGAATAGTCCACCAGCCAAAAATATCCAGCCAATATCCAGCGTCCTGTGGGCAGCGTCCTGTGGGCAGCATCCTGTGACCACTGATGAAGGACTAGAGGATGACCAACACAAACTGTGCAGCAGCAGATGAGCTATCGTCTCTGACTTTACATCTACAAGGTGGACTGACAAGGTAGGAGTGTCTAATAGAGTGGACAGTGAGTGGACACAGTGTTTAAAAACTCCAGCAGCACTGCTGTGTCTGATCCTCTCGTACCAGCGCAACACACACTAACACACCACCACCACGTCAGTGTTACTGCAGTGCTGAGAATGACCCACCACCCAAATAGTACCTGCTCTGTGAGGGTCCATGGGGGTCCTGACCACTAAAGAACAGGGTAAAAGGGGGCTAACAAAGTATGCAGAGAAACAGATGGACTACAGTCTGTAACTGTAGAACTACAAAGTGCACCTATATAATAAGTGGAGCTGATAAAATGGACAACGAGCGTAGAAACAAGGAGGTGGTCATATTATGCCTGGGTTATGCTGAGTCTTTTTCTAACAACATGCATACATGTACTTATCAGCTTTATTGCTGTTATAAAGCTATGAGCTTTATTATTATAATGCATAATAACAGGCTTTGTACTGCTGTATTTTTTGTATTTGCTGAAAGGAGAAGTTGATCACCCACACAGAGGCACACTGCTTCTCATATCATCATCATGATATCCAGCTTAACCACGCATTGCAGTTTATGTCCGTATAGCACTAATTTGAGGTGCTTACCTGAGCTGAGAATGTAAAGCTTGGTGTATTTTACCTTTACCTTACACAATATGTCACAATGTTTATGTTATGACATAATGTTAGAACAGACAAAGTCATGCCACATTTTAAAAATGCTATCAAAAACTATGAATCCAGTTATTTGTATTCGACAATTCACACACTGTGCTGCACTACATCCAATTAAACTGGACAAATTACACTCTCTTTTAATCAAACATCTTTTTAAAGTACTGATGATATAGAAAAGCATATTGTGACATATTGTGATGTATTTTATCATGATAGTGATGAATGTTGTCATATTGCCCAGCTCTATTCTGAACCATATCAAAATAATTACTTATAATTACTTCAAATTAAAATCAAATCAAATCCAATCACATTTATTGTCACATCACATTTACACAGATGCAAGGTGAGTGAAAATCTTAGGTGCGTAGCTCCTTGTAGAATTTAAATACAATATGCACACACACACACACACATATATATATATATATATATATATATATAAACACTGACTCTAAATATATACACATATACATAATATACACTACTATTGCACTACTCCAATGTACAGTTGTACAGTAATAAGTTATGAAATAAAACGTAGTGAATGAAATAAAGCTATGATGTGTACTGTTGTACACATCTACATATGTGCAGTTAGTGAGTCTGAAGTAGATAATAAATGAGATGCAGGTACACAGAGGATAGAATATTGATATAGAAATCTTCCAGATTATACAACATATGGATAAAAGATGCAAAAGATGTCAATCTGTATGTGTAAGTATAGATTGCTAGATTGAAGGTGCAGTAAGATCAGAGTGTCTGTTACTTACTCTGAGTTAAGTTACTAAGTACATGTTGTATTGAATCATTTCCCAAAATATAATAATTTGTAATCACATCGAGGTCAGAGGTTTACACCCATAACACACTCAGATATCCTGATATAGAAGTTTGCATGTCCTCATGCTCTAGGTGGCGGGGGCGGGGGGGATAGGCTGTAGGCTGACGTGCTTTTTTGTCGTAATAAAGGACTCTTTTCTTTGCCCGTGGTTTTGTTTGGGAAACGAGAATAGAGACATAGAGGAAGTGTGGCACTTCTCCATACATCTCTTTCACTTCACTCAGTGAAGACTGCCTTTTTTAGTGATTTCTTTGACATAATTGTGTGTGGGCTAAATTGCCTATTATTGCTGTGCGTGTGTTTCTCCAGGCTCACTTCATCGCCCGGGTGCCTGACCTTTCTCCGCTGGTTCAGAGTCTGCTCTACCTCAATCTGTCTTTTAACAACTTCACTGTGTTCCCTGTGGAGGTGAGCCGTCACTGTTCTTGGTCACTTAATTGGGATCTCCTCCCTCGTAGCTCCACACTGTGCTGATGTAGAGTTCAGGTGTTTTTCCACTGTGCAAAATACTGGAACCTTCAGCACCAGGAAACTGAAACCGCGCTTTTTCCACTGGTCATCGGTCCAGTACAGAAGGTTCCAGTTTTATTTGGTCCCTGCTCGAGCCTGGTATTAGTACCAAAGGAACGAATGGTATTCGAGGGCGTTCTCCTCTGTCTTTGGTATCACTTGCAGCTGAAGTGAGCGGCAGGCTAGCGAGTTCTTTGCTCTTCTAGGTGAAGATAAACACACCAAACACTATGACTTCACTGCCATGAGCACACAATACAATGTAAACTGGAGTGGCATGTTGATGTGTGTATTGCTTTTTGTAGAATTATCACTTTTTAAAGTTTATCAAAGTGACAAGTTACTTAGGAAGCTAACATTATTAGCGTTTAAGCTAACCTCCACAGAACGAGTTTATGCATTCTAGCACACCCTGTGCTACCCTGGGCTCAAGGAGGACGGTGGAGGCAGGATTCAAGGTCGCAGCAGCCATATAAAGTTAATTTCACACTCTTCTCTTCCCATCATTCTGGTACAAATCAATCTTGGTCCAAAGCCAGCTGTCCAAAGAATCTTGTTCCAGAACTACGCAGCCTTTTTTAGATGTTTTCTAGCAAAGTCTAATCTGGATTTTCTGTTCTTGAGTGCTTGCATCTTGAGGTAAACCCTGTGTATTTACATTCATGAAGGCATCTTCATGAATTTTTTCCCCAATTTAGTCGTCTCCAATTCCACCCGCTAGTTAGGACTCCTCCAATCACACGATACTACCAACGCTAGGTGGGCGAAGGCTAACACAGGCTTCCTCCGAGACCCGTGAAGCACCACCGCATCTTTTTGAACTGCCGCTCACGCAACGTCATTGGACAGCCGAACACGCTTGGAGGAGAACGCTAACCGCCAGTTCTCTTACGTCAGCTAACAGACGCCTGCGCTGACTAGCATTGCGTTGAGTGATGGGGGGAGATGGGGAGGCATCCTACCAACCCAGAGAGAGCGAGGACAACTGTGCTCTCTTGGACTCTCGGCTACGGACGGCTGTAGCATCACCAGGGATTGAACTCGCGATCTCCTAATGAGAGGGCCAACGCTTAGACGGTTGCGCCACTCGGGACCCCCTATGAAGGCGTCTCTTGACTGTAGACTTTGACAATGATGCGCCAACCTCCTCTGGAATGTCCTCGACTTAACTAAACGTTGTGAAGACGTTTTTCTTCACCATGGAAAGAATTCTGTGATCATCCACTTTCGGTGTCTTCCGTGGTCTTCCAGGCTGCCGAACTTGCCAGTGCATTTCTTCTTTTTTAAGAAGGTTGTTTTTTCAGCCTAATGATGGACCCCTTCGCTTGCATCGAGACCTTTTTGGACTAGAAGTTGAGAGTTCCCATGAAAAGCTACCAAAGTCAACACTTGGAATCAACTCCTTAATTTGTCATGAAATAATGTGGGAACAGGCCACACCTGGCTATGAAACTGCTTATCAGTCAGCTGTCCGGTTACTTTTGAGCTGTGGTGGTGTAGAGGCAAAATTGCAAATGTTATAACTGTCCAAATACTTATAGACCTGACTGTAAATGTAGACATTTTTGTCAATACTTGCCTGCAGCCAAATTTGACACTTAATGACATTATTAGGACAGTTCCAGCTAAACTAGAAGCACAAGTTTGGTTGGTTCTCATTTGCATCAGATCTTATTTTTGAATGTGCGGCCGAAAAACACCCACAAAAACTGGTGCCCGTCTGTTGATGCACAGTCTGTGTTAGCCATCCTCTAGTCCTTCATCAGTGGTCAGTTTCTGACCACAGAGCTGCTCTGGGCTGGATATTTTTGGGTGGACTACCCACTCTCCACCCAGCAGTGAAACTGACGTGTGTAAAAAAACTCCAGCACCCCCTGTGATACACTCGCACCACCACACACAACCACGTCAGTGTCACTGCTCTACTTAGAATGGACCATCACCCAAATAATAACTGGACAACAGCAGTCCTGTGGTCAGAAACTAATGATGAAAGAGGCCGAGAGGGGCTGATAAACTGGGCCAAGTACATCTTCCTTTGTCTCTCTTTCTTTCAGGTATGTGAGCTGCCCAAGTTGGAGGTCCTGAAGCTGAGAGATAATCCAATAGAGGAGATTCCAGCTGAGATTGAGAAGCTGCTCAAACTGAAGACCCTGGTCATCTCCTTCTGCAAGATCGCTATGCTGCCCTCCCAGTAATCACAACACACAGATACATGTACAGGACAGTGCAAACGTCAGAGACCACCCTTCATTTATTTATCTTCCAATCAAAATGGCCATTAAGCATGAGTTATTCATTTTTCAGGAGATACATCTAAGAGATTAGATATAAGATCACCCACTTACATAAAGAAGCAGAAAATAAAAAGAAAAGAAAAATAAATGAGAAAAAAAGGAGTTTCCAAAACTGGAGTAAATAAATGATTAAAAGATATTGAGAAAATGAGACCTGGTAGACCCCAAAACTGCCCCCATCAGATAAGCAGCACTTAAAGCTTTCATCTCTGAGAGAGAGGAGAAAATCAAGCTGCTTCAGATCTGAAAACATCCACAGGTGTTTCTGTCCATCCTTCCACTGTGAGAAGACGACTCAGCGCTGTGGGTCTGAAAGGATGTGTAGCTGATCAAGAAGAACCTCACTGAGAAAAGGAGACGGACACATCAAACAAACTGATGAGTCTAAATCCATAATTGGGGATTATTTGAATCGTGAGAATCAGAAAATGCAACCAATTTCTAAGACTGAACTTTAGAGGAGTGGAAGAGTGTTCCTGTAGATTTCTTTGAAAAAATGAGAACGATTCCAGTAAAATCCATGGGCCAGAGAACTGTTTCAGTTTCATTTTTAAGTTCTTTTATGACTGGCCATTGTGTGTATATAACAAATTCAGCAAAAAATGCCTCTTTTAATGACTACTGCAGTTTCAGAATTCTGAAATATGGGCACTTGTAGTGTGTGTATATATATATATATATATATATATATATATATATATATACACACCTACATATACATACATACATTGCTGCTGTAAGGACAATAGCTTGTGTCTCCATGTTTTTCAGTTTTTGACATAATGTGAAAATGCCTGTCGTCCTTTACATTGTATATAAAATTTTAAATTGAATGGACCAAAAGAAATGGGCAAAAATAACCTGGAAAAAATCTGGTTCCATTGACTTACATTGAAAGTAAAGAAGGTTTTTCTCTTCTCCTGTAAAGTTACCATTTTGGAGATACGAGGTTTTGTTCCGTCAGCAGCGATACACACGCTACAAGACCACAAGTGCCTATATTTTGTCTATAAAAAAAGAAAACAAAACTGAAAGCATGTTTCCTCTATAAGAATAGAAGCTGTAATAAAGTCAAAGGATGGACACACGAAACACTGTTATATGTCTTGTACTTAATTGCTGTTTTGAATATTAAATAAATGAAGAGTGGTCTCTGACTCTGTAGTCAGAAACTGACCATTGATTGAGGGCTAGAGGATATGTTCCTAATGGAGTGGTCAGTGAGTGTATGCTGTGTGTGTTGTGTAGGTTATATCGCCTGCCGTCTCTGCAGCACCTGGACGTCTCTCACAACCTCATTAGCTCCCTGAACAACGAGATCAAAAACCTCAGGTGGGAGAAAAGAGTGGACAGACAGACTGACAGAGAGACAGAGACACAGACAAGGGGACATACATACGGACAGACCTACAGACTGAGAGACAGATAGAAGGACAGTGTGACTGAAGGATAGACCGAAATACAGAAAGACAGGCCAAGAGACAGAGGGACAGAGGGACAAACAAACAAGAGACAGGGAGATGGACAGACACACAGACTAACCGATTTCTAGATGTTTTTACTTTTTTCAGGTTTGCTGAACTAGTTTGGCTTGTTTACGAAATAATGCTTTAAACAACAAAATTATCTGCCTATGGAATTTTTTGGGGGGATTTTTTCCAAATTTAGTTAGGACTCCCCCAGTCACACGATAGCACCGGTGCTAGGAGGGTGAAGGCCAGCACAGGCTTCCTCTGAGACCTGTAAAGCACCACTGCATCTTTTTGAACTGCCACTAACCCAACGTCACTGGACAGCTGAACACGCTCGGAGGAGAACACTAACTGCCAGTTCTGTTACGTCAGCTAACAGATGCCTGCGCTGACTTGCATCTCACTGAGTGATGGGGGGAGACAGGGGGGCCAGCCTACCCACCCAGAGAGAGCGAGGCTGACTGTGCTCTCTTGGACTCTCGGCTATGGACGACTGTAGCATTACCGGGGATTGGACTCATTCTCCTGATGAGAGGGCCAACGCCAGGTTCTGCCACTCAAGAGCCCCCGGAATTTAAACTTCTGCAGCTAAAATTACTTCTAGCATTGAAACGGTTTAAAAATGAGTTAAATGATCTAATCAGACAGACCAAGAGACAGACAGACAGACCGACAGACAGTTAAAGAAGGCTCTTTGGTTAATTTTCATCTGTCGTGATATGTATGTACAGTACTGTGCAAAAGTCAGATATTCATTTGTTTAATTTCCAGTCATTAAGTACAAATTATTCATTTCACAGTGTCAGAAAAAAGCAGAAAACGTTTATTTAATAGAAATTGATGATTTCCTTTCTTCTCAGGAGACTCACTTTCAGTTCCTCAAAGAATCTGCAGACACACCTCCAAAGTTCAGTCTTAGAACACATTCAGTGGTGTTGAGGTCTGGACTCTGGGGTGGTCAGTCCATTGTTCAGCTTATTTGTTCGATGTGTCCGTCTCCTTTTCTCAGTGAGGTTCTTCTTGATCAGCTACACATCCTTTCAGACCCACAGCGCTGAGTCGTCTTCTCACAGTGGAAGGATGGACAGAAACACCTGTGGATGTTTTCAGATCTGAAGCAGCTTGATTTTCTCCTCTCTCTCAGAGATGAAAGCTTTAAGTGCTACTTATCTGATGGGGGCAGTTTTGGGGTCGACCAGCTCTTCCAGGTCTTCCTGATTTTCTCTCTAGCTTTTAATCATTTTTTTGAACTCCAATTTTGGAAACTTCAGTTACTTTCCTTTGACTTTGCCCTTCCTTATGCAAGTGGATTATCTTCCATCTGATCTTCTCAGAAATACCTCCTGTAAAATGAATAACTTGCACTTAATGTCTGTTTAAACTGGAAAGGAAATAGATGAAGGGTTAAGTTGGTCTCTGGCATTTACACTGTACCATAGCTTATCTGTTGGGTGTTTGTGTGAAGGGTGCTGCAGTACGTGAACGTAGAGGGGAATCAGTTGGAGGGTCTGCCGGTGGGGATCCTGAGTTTGTCTCTGTCTGAGCTCCGGCTGGGGGGGAACTACACACACCCTGTGCTGTGGACCCTTAACAGTGTGAACTCTCCACCGTCCCTCTTGCACACTGCAGCGCACGCCCTGGCTCTCATACAGCCTGAACAGCGCTACAGCACTCTGCCCCCTGCAGCCCGCCTCGTCCTCAGCAGGTAACACACACGCCACACACACTGGTCTCTAAATGTAACTCTGAGTTTGTTTTTGTATTTTCAGACCAAAAATGTCCCGACTTTTGTAGTAAAACCAGAAAACAGAGCTAAACTACTGTTCTTATAAAGTGCTCTTTACAAAAACGTCTTGGCTCCTTGTAAGGCTGAGGATAGATAGATAGATAGATAGATAGATAGATAGATAGACAGACAGACAGATAGATAGATAAATAGAGAGACAGATAGATAGATAGATAGACAGACAGATAGATATATAGATAGACAGACAGATACATAGATAGATAAATATATAGATAGATAAATAGATAGATAGATGGATAGACAGAGAGACAGACAGACATACAGATAGATAGAGAGACAGACAGACAGATAGATAGATAGATAGATAGATAGATAGAGACAGACAGACAGACAGATAGATAGATAGACAGATAGACAGACAGATAGATAGATAGAGACAGACAGACAGACAGATAGATAGATAGATAGATAGATAGATAGATAGATAGATAGATAGATAGAGACAGACAGATAGATAGATAGATAGAGGCAGACAGACAGATAGATAGATAGATAGATAGATATATAGAGACAGACAGATAGATAGATAGATAGATAGAGAGACAGACAGATAGATAGATAGATAGATAGATAGATAGATAGAGACAGACAGACAGATAGAGAGACAGACAGACAGACAGATAGATAGAGACAGACAGACAGATAGAGAGACAGACAGACAGACAGATAGATGCAGTCGTTAGAGCATTACCACATCCTCTATATGAAACACACTTCTGCACCTTTAAATGCACAGTTACTGATTATTTGTGTGTATTTGTTTATGTAATCAAACTGAGCTGACTTCATGAGAGCTGTACTGACTGCATCAGGCACAAACTGATAAACTGTAGAAGGGCAGTAAAATGGTAATAGCATAATAATAATGCAAACTGAAATTGTGTACTTTGTCTCTCAGGGCAAGTGTGTGTGAATGCTGTGGTGGTCCCTGGTTTGGCCCCGGGCTGAAGCTGATCCGGCCCATTTACGGCCTCTTCGGCCTCAGCAGCGTTCCCATCCTCTTCCTCTCCTGCTCTGCCTCCTGCTACTCCAGATTCAGGAAACAGTCACACCCCCTCACACAGCCCCTTCACACGGGCTAGACAGCAAACAGCAGTGCTGGAGTGTTTCAGGTTTTTATTGTTTATCTTTCTTTTCAATAAATTGGTACAAACATTACAACAGAGCACTGTACATACATACACTGTATGGACAAAAGTATTGGGACACCTACAGGAGCTTTATGAATCCCATTCTAAATCCATAGGCATTAATATGGAGTTGGTCCCCCTTTGCAGCTCTAACAGCTTCCACTCTTCTGGGAAGCTTCTACAGGATGTTGGAGAGTCTGTGGGAATTTTTGCCCATTCATCCATCTGTGAGGTCAGACACTGATGTTGGACGAGAGGGCCTGGCTCACAATCTCCGTTCTAGTTCATCTCAAAGGTGATGGATGGGGTTGAGGTCAGGGCTCTGTGAGGGCCAGTCAAGCTCTTCCACACCAAAATCACCCAGTCAGGCCTTTATGGAGCTGCTTTGTGCACTGGGGCTCAGTCAAGCTGGAACAGGAAAGGTTCTTCCCCAAACTGTTCCCACAAAGTTGGAAGCGTACAACTGTCCAAAATATCTTGTTCTGCTGAAGCATTAAGATTTCCCTTCACTGGAACTCAGGGTTCTAGACCAACCCCTGAAAAAGAACCCCATAGCATCATCCAAACCTCCACCAAACTCTACAGCTGGCACAGTGCAGTCAGGCAGGTAACGTTCTCCTGGCATTCGCCAAACCCAGACTTGTCCATCAGACTGACAGATAGAGAAGCGTGAATAGTCGCTCCACAGAATATGTGTCCACTGCTCCAGAGTCCAGTGGCGGCGCTTTACACCCCTCCATCCGACGCTTGGCATTGTGCTTGGTGATGTAAGGTTTGCATGCAGCTGCTCAGCCATGGAAACCCTGCCATGAAGCTCCCAGCACACAGTGTCTGTGTTGATGTTGATGTCAGAGGAGATTTGAACAGTTATTGACTCAGCAGAGCGTTGGAGACTTTTATGCACTACTGACACTTCGTGGCTGAGTTGCTGTGGTTCCTAAACACTTCCACTTTTCAATAATACCACTCACAGTTGATCGTGGAACATCTAGGAGGGAAGAAACTTCACAAACTGACTTGTTGCAATGGTGGCATCCTGTTACAGCACCACGCTGGAATTCAGTGAGCTCTTTAGACCCATCCTTTCACTAATGTGTGTAAAGGCAGGCTGCATGGCTGGCTGCTTGATTTTATACACCTGTGGCAATAAGACTGAATGAAACACCTGAATTCAATTATTAAGAGGTGTGTCCCAATACTTTTGTCCATGAGGTGTATATGTAGCATTGTACGTACACGTAGTGTATACATATATGTAACACTATATACACAGATCAGGCATAACATTATGACCTTGTTTCTACACTCATTGTCCATTTTACCAGCTCCACTTACTATATAGGTGCACTTTGTCGTTCTACAGTTACAGACTGTAGTCCATCTGTTTCTCTGATACTTTGTTGTGCTGGTACAAGTGGATCAGACACAGCAGTGCTGCTGGAGTTTTTAAACACTGTGTCCACTCACTGTCCACTCTATTAGACACTCCTACCTTGTCAGTCCACCTTGTAGATGTAAAGTCAGAGACGATAGCTCATCTGCTGCTGCACAGTTTGTGTTGGTCCTCCTCTAGTCCTTCATCAGTGGTCACAGGACGCTGCCCACAGGACGCTGTTGACTGGATATTTTTGGTTGGTGGACTATTCTCAGTCCAGCAGTGACACTGAGGTGTTTGAAAACTCCAGCAGCACTGCTGTGTCTGATCCACTCTGACCAGCGCAACACACACTAACACACCACCACCACGTCAGTGTTACTGCAGTGCTGAGAATGATCCACCGCCCAAATAGTACCTGCTCTGTGAGGGTCCATGGGGGTCCTGACCACTGAAGAACAGGGTAAAAGGGGGCTAACAAAGTATCAGAGAAACAGATGGACTACAGTCTGTAACTGTAGAACTACAAAGTGCACCTATATAGTAAGTGGAGCTGATAAAATGGACAATGAGCGTAGAAACAAGGAGGTGGTCATAATGTTGTGCCTGATCAGTGTAATGTACACCATATAGACAAAAGTATTGGGACGCACCTCCTTATTATTGAGTTCAGATGTTTCAGCCACACCCATTGCTAACAAGTGGATCAAATTAAGCACATAGCCTTTTAGTCTTGATAGGCAAACACTGACAGTAAAATGGGTCGTACTGAAGAGCTCAGTGACTTTAACCCTTTATTGCACACATTATAAGAGCAATGTTTAAAAAATATTTCACTTTTTTTGCATAAAATGGACCTGATTATTAAAATACCAAAAAAAAAGTTTGTTGCCTTAAGGCAACATTGTGTGACAATGGAAAAAAATGATACAGAGTGTATGTCTACACTTCTTCAAATATAAAAATGATCAAATTTGCTTTCCAGTTTCCTAAATAAATAAAAACCTCAGAATTATTCTAAATAACACATAATTCTAAATGGAAAAAATATATAATGACTGCGCTGTTCGCTCACGTGGCTGTTTTGTTTGCAACTGTGACGCTTTGTTTACGACTAGCTAAATCCACTCCACAATGTTGCTTCGAGGCAACAAACATATTTCAATAATTTCTACAAATTGTTTATATGGTTGTGAATGTAAATTAATTTTACACTCTAATAGATGTGAATCGTATATTGGAAATGATTAAAAATTATGTTTTTGTCTGAGGGACACTGTCTGGTGCAGTAACGTGTGTCGTCGAAAAGCTTCACCATCCCCAAAAAAAGTTTCAAAATGTCCAAAAGATTTTTTTTTGTGGTGTTTAAACTGTTCCCTTCGTAATTAACCCTTTCATGATCAGTAAATACGTATCATGTCATTGTAAAGTGAGGAAAATAAGTTTGTTGCCCTGCATCATGCAACAGAGGGTTAAACAAGTCACTGTCATAGGATGTCACCTCTGCCGCAAGTCAGTCTGTGAAGTTTCTGTCTTGCTAGAGCTGCCCTGGTCAATTGTAAGTGTTATTATTGTGAAATGGAAGCGTCTAGAGGCAACAACAGCTCAGCCACGAAGCGGTAGACCACACAAACTCACAAAAGCAGGGCCGCTGAGTGCTTAAGAGCACAGTGTCTATCCTCTGTTGAATCACTACCTAAAGAGTTCCAAACTGCCTCTGGAAACAGCATCAGCACAAGAACTGCACATTAGGAGCTTAACGAAATGGGTTTCAGCTGCACACAAGCCTAAGATCACAATGTACAGTGCCCCCTGGGGGTGGTGCTCTTCTGGATGAATGACAGAAGACACATTCCAAAATCTTGTGGAATACCCTACCAGAGAGAGGCGAAGTTGGGACCAACTTCCTTCCATGTTATTGCCTAAGGATTTAGAATGGGATGTATATATATATGTATATATACATATATATACTATATATATATACACTGTATGTACATCCATATACATATATGGATGTACATACAGTGTATTATTGATCGGTTGTGTGAAGATTTCTCCCTGTTCAGGATGGATGCGGTGCTTGTGTTCCTTGATTATGTCAAAACCAGAGAGCAGCAATATTATTTAATAAATTTAGTGCTGTTTGTAGCTAAATTTCACTTTCATAAATTAAAATATTCAAACTCCAAGCCTTTATAAATCGTCTTTATTAAGGAATTTGAGCAGTATCTGAGCGTATCTGACAGTAGAAAAGCTGTTTCATCAGAGATGTCATTTATTTTCCAAATTATCTATTTTATTTCTTCATCTTTGACTACGTTATAATTGATATGTGTTTATGCATTCATAGTCTTGATTAATACTCCTCTGGCCTTTTTCCTCTCTTTTTTCTACTTCTATCCTTCAACCAAGTTTACATTTCTTTTGTTTTAACAAATAATTGTTAATTAAAAAAAAAAACTATGAAATTCACTGGTCTAAAAATGAAAAAAAAAAATTGTGTCTTTGTGTCATTTTTATTTATTTTTTCACTTCTGTTGCCTGAGTGAGGGCTTTTATTTTGGCTTTTTCTCTCAGGCAACCAGACAGTGTCATCTTCCGCTGCTACTGTTAGTGCAGTAGAACACTTTTAATTGCCAGATTTTGCGAGAGAAACAAGCAACATTCGCCCACTTATTCCCAGGGATTGGTAATGGATTAGCTAAAGGAACTCTATTGTTGAAGGACCATCAGTGAGTGTGCATACATGCACTCCATACTCCAATCATAATCGGATTTCTTCCGTTATCTGATTATTCAATGGTCACATAAACATCATAATCTGATCTAGATATTTCAGCTCGGTAATCAGATTTCTCAGTGCATGTAAACTCTTACTCTGATTTCTTTCGGATTTCTCAGTCTGAGCATGTGTGAAAACAGACGGCGGTACCGGAAATAAGTGAGCAGCGTTGCCGCGAGACGCAGCTAAATATTTTGGAGCGATACTGAAACCAAATACATGCTTGACGAAATGAATGATTTAAATATTCTTCGTCTTATAGATCAGGGGTCTTCAATTAAAATTCAATAAGGTCCATTTAGAAAAAAGTTTCTCAAGCCAAGGTCCAGAACATCATAATGTCTAAGTTGCATCATGATTCACTGCCATATACCGTTTACTGAAGTGGCCTAGTAGGTATATCAACATCTTATACAGTCAACAACTGAATATCAAATCAAATAAAGTACAGTTCAGTCATATTTCAACAACATTTATGGTCAGTTTTCTCTTTTTAAAGCACAACATGTGAAACAACTTCCCTCTGACTCACTTTCTTCTCCGACTGCTGTTTCTCGCCTCGTCCCTCCCCTGTGTCTGCATCACTCACTCAAGTCTCAGTGCTCATCGTAATGCACAGATCTGATTGGCTGAGTAGCATCACATGTGATATTTACAACGCGTGCGATTGGTCTGAGAGTCTCCCGGGCCGCTAAACCAGCACCATAAAGGATAGAAAAGTTACGCCGATTAAAACAGGACCACCTCGTCGAAATTAAATAACTCTCCATAGTTTAGCGGTTTTAGGTCCAGGTCCGCATAGGACAGCATCTGGGTCCGGACTCGGACCGTGGTCCGCCTATTAGTGACCTCTGTTCTAGATGATGTATGTTCATGATTTCAGGTAAAGTGGTGGGATGTTTTAAACAAAAAGCCGCAGCATGAAGTTTGAGTTTTACGTTACGTTTACGTCATGTCTTCTGTGAGTTTATTGGCTGGTTGTAAAGCAGAAATCTGATTACTGCCTGACTCATGTAGACCTGGAGTTCCCCCATTATCTGATTACTCAAGAGCACGAAAACACACTGAACCAGTTACTGACCCAATCTGATGTTCTGCGGTTATCGGATTATTAAGTACATGTAAACACACTCAATGGCACAATTTTGATTTGTTTTGATTTGTAGGATCGTGCAACAGGACAAACTAGCAGTTTGGCTTTATTAGACAAGTCTAGTGGAGAGAGAGAGAGAGAGAGAGAGAGAGAGAGAGAGAGAGAGAGAGAGAGAGATCAGGAAGCCCAAATGTGATTTACAGATCTCTGCTTTCTGTTTTTATTCACATTTCACATACAGTCCCAACTTTTTTGGAGCTGTGGTTCGTAAAAACTTTCATTTCACAGTCTCACTCATGGCTTTGTGTCTTAGAGCACTTGTGTGTGTTCAGATTACTGGAGTGCCTGAAGGTCCGCCAACACCCTGAGCAGAAATACGGCTTCTCTCCTGTGTGAATCCGCTGGTGCTGCTGAAGATGAACCAGCTGAGTGAAGTTCTTGCCGCACTCTAAGCAGGTATACGGTTTCTCCCCTGTGTGGATGCGCTGGTGCGTTCTGAGATTGCCTCGGTCTCTGAAATGCTTCCCGCACTCTGAGCAGGTGAACGGGTTCTCTCCCGTGTGGGTGAACAGGTGTCTCTGGAGGTGAATCTGCTGAGTGAAGTTCCTCCCGCATTCGGGGCAGAAGAACTGCTTCTCTCCTCTGTGAATGAGCTGGTGTCTCTGGAGGTGAGTCAGCTGAGTGAAGCTCTTGCCGCACTCTGAGCACTGATACGGTTTCTCTCCCGTGTGGATGCGCTTGTGCGTCCTGAGGTTACTCCTGTCGTTGAAACTCTTGCCGCACTCCGAGCAGCGATACGGCTTCTCCCCCGTGTGAACGCGCTGATGTAGATGGAGGTGAGTCTGTCGGGTGAAGCTCTTCCCGCACTCTGAACACTGGTGGCTCCTCTTCGCCGTCTTTTTCTGGGTTCGCCTGAGAGGCAGGTTGGTGAGGAGAGTTTGTGGAGCACTGGGGCTCCTTGTGAGCATCATATTTTCACACTCGATCTCTCCCGATTTCAGCAGTCTGATGTACTCCTCATGACTGAACGACGTCGCCGCAGAAGGCAGCTGCGTAGGAAAGTGTACACAAGGAGCCGAGGCTGTTTGAGCCATGCTTGACAGCACACACGAGGAGGTTTGCAGCAGGACGCCATTCATTTCTGCAGGAGATAAAAAGGAAACATATATGAAAGTCATGTTCTTCATAATCTTACACAGTTTTATCCGAGGATTTGGGGTGCTAACTGGCGCAAAGATAAGAGAAAGATAAAGATAAGAATGGGCAGACGTTTTGCTCCAAACACACAATCAGCAACTGGCCAGTTTATTATTCTGAGTTACTCTGATCTGATTTGTTGCAGTTTTATTAGATGATAATAATAATAATAATAATAATAATAATAATAATAATAATAAGCAGGTAAGTGCGCTCACTCTGTATTTGAATACTGCTGCTACACCCTTAACTAATAACAGGTACAGGTACTACAGTGTGTTTCATGTGTACAAAGAGTGAGCTTCATATACGAAGGGTTTTTTTTTCCATAATCACTTTCAAAAATGTTCTTATTTGTTTTGTTCCACGATATACGTTGTTAGGAATGGACTTTACATTGAAATATCAGTGCAATATTTTGTATATTGAGTAATACCACCTTTATTGGAGAATTTATTGGAGAAGTGTTTTCTTCCATTATATATAAGCAGTTTTTCTTTTTTTTTGTCCTTTTTATTCATCTGCTTCAAAACAATTACAACAGTATCAATTACCCAATACCTTATAAACCATGCAGCCCCCCTCCATCCTCTGGATCCCTGAATCCCCCCCAAACCCCAAACCCACCCTTCCCGCCCAAACCTAAATACTCCCCATCCACAGTCTCTGCCTGCCTCCCCCCACTTAAATAGAAAAAAAATCAAAATATAATAAATAAAGTAAATAAATAAAAAGATTAATAATGATAAATTAAAAAAATAAATAAATAAATAAATCCATACATAAGAACAGACAATAAATAAATAAATAAATAAATAAATATGAGATACGGACATACTGAAAAAAACCTAAATGAAATAAAATAAATATATAAAAATATAAAATGTATCATACCTTTGGCACAATCCATATTTTTCCCCCAGTATGATAATTTCAGCATACAGGGGATATGTACACATTTATTTTCTTAGAGAATCAACAAAACACCAAACTATTGTTAAAACGGGATTTGAACTATGTAATTCAATGGAACCAGAGTTTTTTCCAGGTCATTTTGGGCCGTTTATCATGAAATTTACACACAATGTAAAGAGCAACAGGTATTTTCAGGCAATTACGTCGAAAACTGAAAAACAAGAGAAACGGAGATACAAGGTTTTCTTCCGACAGCATCGATATGTATGCTGATGATGGTAAAATCTATCTCTGATGGTAAAACTAGGCGTTGCTTTGGGGACTATTTTGCCTTAGCACACCTTTCATGTATCCCTCCACCATGTATAGATTAAAATAAATGAATTAAAACACATTTTAGACCAAAACTTTATATCAACACTACCATAAAACAGTGTCTCAGTCATCAGGCAGTGAATTCATAACCATCTCATGTAGTAACTTTCTGTGAGGGAGCTTTTAGAGGTGGACGTCTGGTTCCTATCACCACCACTGTGAACAGTTCTGATTCGGCAAGTTTCTCTAGAACGAGCATTTCACACCAAACCACTCTGAACGACTCTGTTTACATCTTAACCATTTAATTATGTGGATTTTTTGAACATTTGGTGGAGCTCCCCTTAAAATTAAAGGTTTAGGAATTTCTCACACTGGACAGTTCAGCTGTTAGAGTTAACTGACCTGTTCAGAGGAGCTCATCTCGCTGGTTATGAGAAGCTGCTGCTGCTCTCTGGAACTGGAACCAGAAAGAAAAGCCGCGACCAGTAAAGAAAACCACCGATTATAAACATCAGGCAGGAACATTTAGTCAACGACAACAACTGAAGTCAGCTTCTTCTTGGAATTTCTCCGTTCCACCTTAAATGGTGCAGCTGAACTCACCCTGTGCTGGGCCTTTAAGCCTCCTCGATCACCGGCGATTACCGCCATTCTCAGATAATTTAATAATATGAGTAAAAACTTTCAGAAATTATTTCACAGTCAGAGGATTAAAGCAGCCCCATCACTCTGTTTATCCGGGTTCTTCTTCTTCTTGGTGACGCCCTTAACATCTAACCGAAAGGAGCGTTAGCGCCCTCTACTGCTAGGAAGCTAAGCTAACAGCGTTTGTGGTGGATCTTGGGCCAAAACAGTATGCAAATAAAGAAGGTAGGTAGTGTTGGGTAATTTACAACAGCATGACTGAAATTAAATGATATCAACCCATCAAAAAAAGATCACAAAAACATCAGGAACCAACAAAAACACTTAATGGTACCTATGAGGTTTTTTTTCAGCAGGGATGCCCCCCCAAAAACTAAACACACCGAATTTCAAAGTGAAATAGATTATAGATTTAATAAGAACAGTGCTTTGCAGGATAACCGGAAAATAAAAAAGCAAACATAATGAAAAGAAATGATAAAAACCAGAGAAAAACAGTCTCAACAGGTCAACAAACTCACGCAAACACACATAACCTCACACGCAAAACCAGCAGACTAGAATTAAGAGAGAGAGAGAGAGAGAGAGAGAGGTGGGGGTGAGAGCACCCATAGGTGAATCCCCATCTAACACAGCTTTGATCAAGGCAGTCATAGCTTTATGCAAATTATATGTAAATTAGACATACGCTTGCTGACTCATCATTACAAACCAAAACTAATATAATGCAGACTTGGTCCAGAAAACCAGTTCAAGTCTGTATTAACACTGTCTCAACAAAGACAGTGTCCCTCGTGTGTGTCTTAATGACGTCAGCAACAGTCACTCTCAGGCCCAAAACACTGGTCCCGAAATGGTCTCCTTTCACCCAGTTATACAATAATAGAAAAACCCAGTTCCAATTCCCGAGCCGCAGGCCGCTGCCCTGTCTGGTAGGGTAGGCTGGAGATGGACATAAACAAGTCGTTATCTCGTGTCACAGCGTCCCTCTCAAGAACACACCACAAGCCTTACAGAGACACAAAGGCCATAGAAATAGATGCAAGAAATATGATCTTGCAATACAATGCAAATGCTAATGGAAAACAAGCATTAAATTAGTTAAATATAGTGTAAAAATGTTTTCTCTCCCAGGCTGAGAGTAATTTTCTGATGGGCCAAATCAAACATCCTCATAGACCAACTCTGGCCTGCAGGCCTCACACTGCACTGTCCGATATCCCAGTCACTCATCCCATCTGATATCCCAGTCACTCATCCCATCTGATATCCCAGTCGCTCGTCCCGTCTGATATCCCAGTCCTTCGTCCCGGCTGATATCCCAGTCGCTCGTCCCGGCTGATATCCCATTCGCTCGTCCCGTCTGATATCCCAGTCGCTCAACCCGGCTGATATCCTAGTTGCTCGTCCCGTCTGATATCCCAGTCGCTCATCCCGGCTGATATCCCAGTCGCTCGTCCCGTCTGATATCCCAGTCGCTCATCCCGTCTGATATCCCAGTCGCTCGTCCCGGCTGATATCCCAGTCGCTCGTCCCCTCTGATATCCCAGTCGCTCATCCCCTCTGGTATCCCAGTCGCTCGTTCCGTCTAGTATCCCAGTTGCTCGTTCCGTCTAGTATCCCAGTCGCTCGTCCCGTTTGATATCCCAGTGGTTCATCCAGCGTATCTGCTGTAGCCAAATATGTACATTTGAGGATACATTAAAGGCATTACTAATACCTAAATTAATGGATTCATTTATTTGTTTAATTAATAATGATATTAATTATAATATTAATTATAAGTATAATATTAATATAATAATAATAATAATAAGTTAATTAATTAATTAGTGTTATTACCAAAGAGTTACAAAGGGTACAAATTCAAGAACCAAAACTGTACACACAGTGCCAGGGAGTACGTAAAAAAAGGAAATAAAATCCATCACATTATATTAAATTAAATTCCCATTGCATCAGGATTTTGTTTGAAATCTTCCAAAAAGTGCATAAAATTAGGTCTGAAGAGACTATTTTACTTTACGATCATGAAGCTCCCCTAATATAAGAAACGGCTGTATTATGTGTATCATTCTCACTTCAAACTCATCACATCTTAAACCTGAATTCGTTTGTTTATTAAGTACGTCTGTATTAATATTATTATTAATATTAATAAATAATAATACATAATAAATAATAAATAAATAAATAATAAATATTATCAATGTATTAATATTAATATTATGTCTGTATTATTATTAAGGACTGTAGACAGACTGTAGTAAGGCATCAGCCAATCGTAGCTCAGGGACGCGCGGCGCTTCTAGCCAATCGCAGCGCAGGAGGCGGGGCTTGTCGGAATGCCCCTCTCCTGCACTGTTAGCAGAGCCGCTCGGCTAAAAACAGAGAAATGCTCCTGCTGTCCAGCTGAGCTGTGACGGTGCTGCTCGCCAGTGTACACAGATTTACACCAGAGTCGGAAGATTTCCGGCCCGTTCGCGCTTAAACAGAGTTCGTGTTCAGTTCTGGCCTCTTAATTTCTGAACTGAGAGCTGCAGCGTCCGATAATCAGCAAGACGATGAGCTGCTCTGAAGAGGTGAGTTAGCGGATAAAACCGCTGACTAACATCGGTGTTTCCTCGCACAGCGGCAGAAATCCGAGCTGCTGCTTCATTTTAGAGATAAAAAAGGCTAATTTGGTGAAAAAGCAAATTAAAACGGTTCCTTTTTGTCAGCTAGCGAGCCTGTAGCCCTGCATATGGCACAATGTGTGGATATAAACCGATCAGGCATAACATCATGACCACCTCCTTGTTTCTACGCTCATTGTCCATTTTATCAGCTCCACTTACTATATAGGAACACTTTGTAGTTCTACAGTTACAGACTGTAGTCCATCTGTTTCTCTGATACTTTGTTAGCCCCCTTTTACCCTGTTCTTCAGTGGTCAGGACCCCCATGGACCCTCACAGAGCAGGTACTATTTGGGTGGTGGATCATTCTCAGCTCTGCAGTAACACTGACGTGGTGGTGGTGTGTTAGTGTGTGTTGCACTGGTACGAGTGGATCAGACACAGCAGTGCTGCTGGAGTTTTTAAACACCTCAGTGTCGCTGCTGGACTGAGAATCATCCACCAACCAAAAATATCCAGCCAACAGCGTCCTGTGGGCAGCGTCCTGTGACCACTGATGAAGGACTAGAGGATGACCAACACAAACTGTGCAGCAGCAGAAGAGCTATCATCTCTGACTTCACATCTACAGGTGGACTGACAAGGTAGGAGTGTCTAATAGAGTGGACAGTGAGTGGACACAGTGTTTAAAAACTGTGTCTGATCCACTCAGACCAGCACAACACACACTAACACACCACCACCATGTCAGTGTTACTGCAGTGCTGAGAATGATCCACCACCCTTATAGTACCTGCTCTGTGAGGGTCCATGAGGGGTCGTGACCCCTGAAGAACAGGGTAAAAGGGGGCTAACAAAGTATCAGAGAAACAGATGGACTACAGTCTGTAACTGTAGAACTACAAAGTGCACCTATATAATAAGTGGAGCTGATAAAATGGACAGTGAGCACAGAAACAAGGAGGTGGTCATAATGTTATGCCTGATCAGTGTACGAGGCTGAAGTCAGCCTCTTGTTGGACTTTTCCTGTTCCTCCTTAAATGGTGCAGGAGTTACACCCATTTAAGGCGGAACGTGAAAATTCCAATGAGAAGCTGACTTCAGCTTCAGCTTCGTCATGGATATAGAGTCTTCTTTAGTAAACTTTTACTAAGATTATAAGGATTAGTGTGGGTTAAATGTACTTGTTTCCAAACTTTAGTTCTGCCTTACATGTTTTGGTGTTTTAACACTTGTCCAACATCCCCCTGAGTTAAAATGGGTGTTTTAGAGATCAGAAATAAGTATAATACGCATGACAGGAGTATTACAGGAAAAGGGCTTGGTTTATAAGGCATGCCTAACTGTAGCTAAAGAATAGCCATATGAAATTTTGACATATAACCATCTACACCGATAAGTCATAACATTCAGAACACCACCTACTTGTATCCACACATTGTCCATTTTATCAGCTCCACTGACCATATAGTTTCACCTTGTAGTTCTACAGTTACAGACTGTAGTCCATCTGCTTCTCTGCATACTTAGTCACCCTGTTCTTCAGTGGTCAGGACCCCCATGGACCCACACAGAGCAGGTACTATTTGGGTGGTGGATCATTCTCAGCACTGCAGTAACACTGATGTGGTGGTGGTGGTGTGTTAGTGTGTGTTGCGCTGGTGTGAGTGGATCAGACACAGCACAATAAAATGAATTCTTTTCTAATTGAGTATTTTTGTTCTTGTGACGTTATCTTTGTCAGGATGCACCGATCGAGGCTTGTACTATTTCAACTGGTGGAGGAACACCAAGTTCTGCAGTGCTCATCAGCCTTGAGGACCAACACAATGTAGGACTTCAGAAGAAGCCCACATCAGGTTGGGGCATAAAGAGAGTAAAATGGCTTTTTTTTTTTAATTTCCGTAGGTTTTCTAACAGGGTTTGTTGCTTCTGACTGTGTGTATGTGTTTCTCTCTCTGTCTGAACGTTAGGAGGCTTCTTGAAGGAAGAAACGGTGCAGCTGGAGAGCTACGTCCAAGGAATCAACCTCCATAACGGAATGATGGTTAGCTACATTAAAGAAGAGGAACTTGTAGATGAAGATTGTCTCTGTAAGACATACGTGATTGTTATGCAGACATAAACGGCTAAATTACAGTGTCAGTTTACATTACATTACAACACCTCACAGTTTTACATCAGATAAAATATTTCAAATTAAATGGAAAATTGCAGGACAGCACTGATTTCAAAACAGCAGTCTGAAGAAAAATCACTTAATTACGATATGATCATGCTACACAGTAGAGACGTTTTGTACTTATGTCGGGATCAGGCTACACAATATTTTTAACAGATTAGCCCAGGGCTCGGCAACATGCGGCTCTTTTACTGCCCTGTTGTGGCTCCACAGCAGAATCAGATTTGTAGGTAATAATAAAATAATCCTTCTTTACAGTAAAATAAAGCTCTGCTGATCGTTCAACACAGTTTAACAATAAATGGTCTTAAACTCTGGAGTTAATGTAGAACTGCTAATTCACCCTTTAACCCTGAAGATCAGCGCAGAGTGCTGGTCACCATAGCAACACAGACAACAATCTCACCTAACGAAACGGCCTCAGACATCATTTAAGGTGGAACGGGAAAATTCGAACAAGAATCAGGTGAATAAAAAGCTGATTTCTGCCTCGTAAACATCAAACGTTGAGAGACATTTTACAAGAAACTGTTCTACGTTTGAGGAAAAGTTTCCTGCCGGAGATGCGAGAAAAGCGGCTATAGCTGAGCTAAAGCTTAAAGCAGAGCAAAGTAAGTCTGTGTTTTCGTTTAGATTATATTTTTAGTCTATTCTAGTACATCAGCACATACTGAGACATATTTACAGCCAAGATGGTAAAATGGACATAAAGTGTTGTGGCTCCCAGTGTGGTTTGATTTTTGCTGAAAGGACAAAATGGCTTTTCTTAACTTTTGGTTTGCGACCCCTGGATTAAGCAATCATAGTGCCATAAATCTGTGCCGTGTTTTGGTCGGGTTACTGGCAACACTACAAGCTAGACGCCGACCAATCATCGTTCATGTTCTGGCGTGAGTTCATAGGTTATCAGGGAGGTGGGTCAAGAAATGGATAAACATGGTTACAGTGCTTTGTGAGATGCTGGCAGTTTTGTGTTCTGAAAAGAGAAAGAAAAGAAAGAACAGTGATTGTGGATTCGTTTCTGGGTTTCATAAAGAGGAGAGAACTTGAGGTAATGAATGTGTTAACACATCAAGCACATTACATAAATGTAGCTACCAGGTTTGCTGTGTGCAAACAGATGCTATAAAGTTTTTGGACTCCACAGCTCAACGAATATTTCCTTTGTTTCGTTTTATTCCATCTGACAATGAATAAGCAGCGTCGCTCTTTCTCTCTGCCTTGTTTACATCTGTGTGACAGACAGCGCTCTGTCAGCCTATTGGCTAACGTCAAGGCAAGGCAAGTTTATGTAAATAGCACCTTTCATACACGGCTGTCATTCAGAGTGCTTTACAAATGAGAAAATACAGAATCATTTAAAAACGTAAAGGAGAATAGAAATTAAAAACACGATTAAAACGTGATTAAAACAGTAGATTTAAAAGAAAAAATCACTAAATTAAAAATCACATGAGGAATTAAATTGGGATAATAAAGTGCTGTTACAGAGGAAAAGGGGCTAGAAACGCTAGCAGTGTTTAAACTGAGCCGAAAGCTGCTCAAACAGGAACATCGAGTTCCTAATGATCTGAGAGTTCTGCTTGGCTCATATTGCTGCAAAATATCGCTGCTGTCGGAAGAAAACCTCGTATCTCCATTTTTGTCGTTTTTCAGTTTTTGACATAATTTGAAAATACCTGTTACCCTTTACATTGTGTGTAAATTTCATGGTGAATAAAAATAAAGTAGTTTTTTTCCTTCTGCTGTAAAGTTAGCATTTTGGAGGAGTTTTCTTCCGACAGCAGCGATATGAAATAAATATGCTGGTCCTGCACCATTGAGCCATTTATAGACCAGTAATAGTATCTTAACAGTCTGTTCTGTAACAGACTGATAGCCACTGTAAGGTCTTGTAGTGTGACATGACATAACATGCGCTTCCCGGTGGTGCAGCGGTAGCGCCACGGACCGCCGATCAGTACATCAGCGGCTCGAGCCTGGCTCTAGGGGCAGTCATGGGCTGGAGGTTAGGCACGGCCCTGTGACCGGAAGGTTGCCGGTTCGATCCCCAGAGCCGACAGTACGTGACTGAGGTGTCCTTGAGCAAGACACCTAACCCCCAACTGCTCCCCGGGCGCTGCTCCGGGCAAGTGTGCTCACTGCCCCCTAATGTGTGTGTGTGCTCACTAATGTGTATGTGGTGTTTCACTGCACAGATGGGTTAAATACGGAGGTGAAATTTTCCCTGTTGTGGGACTAATAAGGGTCACTTAATCACTTAATCTTAATGATAGGAGATTAAAAAACTAGGCCGGAAAATACAAACATGCTAGACTTTTCGTCGGGGTGTTGTGGGGCGTCTCAGACACCACATCGCTGTTCTTTGATTATGTCATGCTACAAGACCTTCCACGTTCCTGACGATCATATTCGGGCCCACTGGAAATCTTGGCTGTGGCAAAAACGTGTCAAAGTCGGGCTGAATTTGTGCGGTGTGATCCCAGCATTAGCGCATCTCGTCTTTCCTTTCATATCCCTTTGTTGTCTCCTCCCCTTCCAGACTGTGAGGACTGCAGATCTTTCTTCATAGACGAATGTGAGATTCATGGTCCAGCGGTCTTCATCCACGATTCCCCTGTTCCCGTGGGGGTCGCTGACCGAGCCAGACAGACCCTTCCCGCCGGTCTGGAGGTTCGGAAGTCTGGTGTTCCTGGCGCAGGTCTGGGAGTGTTTAACCAGGGGGAGACTATCCCCGCAGGCGTACACTTTGGGCCCTACCAGGGAGACCTGACGGACAGAGAGAAAGCCCTGAACAGCAGATACTCTTGGGTGGTGAGTTAGTTTTGCGGAGGAAAAAGAGGTCTGGATTGATCCTTTTCTTCCAGCCATGCATTAATAATATCATTGAAACAGCGTTTTTCCATCTTTAGATGAGGTAAATGTTTAACTGTTTTGCAGATATACAACAGCAGGCAAGACGAGGAATACATAGATGCCAAAAGAGAGACGCATGCTAACTGGATGAGGTGAGGAACACAGCGCTGGGATTGGTAGCCTCTTTATTTTTACTGTTCCTTATCTGGTGTTCCTTACTTGGTCTTTCTCCTGCCCGTAATTGATCTCCCCTTCTCTTTCTCCTTTCCTTATTTCTCTCTCAGGTATGTGAATTGTGCTCGTAATGATGAAGAGCAGAATCTGGTGGCGTTCCAGTATAAAGGGGGGATTCTGTATCGTAGCTGTCGGTCTATCAAACCGGGACAGGAGCTCCTGGTGTGGTATGCAGAGGAGTACGCCAGAAATGACGACATCACGTTTGACTACCTCTGGAACAAAAAGTGCTCCACGAAAGGTTGTGTTAAATCATTGTGATTTTATTCTGATTATACGAATTTGAAACTGGTTTTTGGTAAGGCTGCATGATTAATCATATTAAGGTAATTGCAATATGAGCTTCCACGATTTTAGGCTGCAGTTACAGAACAGTAACATTACAGGTGACACAGTTAGACCGGCAGGTGTGTAGCGTCAGGTGCCGTGTGTAATATTATAGTAGCCGTGTTTGTAAGCAGTGAGTAATTTACCCTCTCTGCTATGAAGTGCAATATGAAGCACATGCACAGCTCAAAAATACTTTTTTTTAATTGCTTAGCTGTACAAATGCTTTAAATGTGATTCTTTTCACTGCCAGTGTGAAATACGTGAAGCACATATCTACTGTTACAACAAACTTGCATCACTGTAAGGAGCTTTTCTTTCATTCATTCATCTTCTTAAACCGCTTCATCCAGATAGGGTCACAGAAGCAATAGGGAAAACAGAGAATCCCAGACGCCCCTGTCCCCCACAACTTTCTCCAGCTATTTCGGCTGGACCCTGAGCCGCTACCAGGCCAATTTGGGAATATAATGCCTTCAGTGGGTCCTAGGATGACTTCGGGGTCTCGTCCCCGTTAGCCGTGCCTGGTAAACCCCCACTGGGAGCCGTCCAGGGGCATCCTGATCAGATATCCAAACCACCTCAACTGACTCCTCTTAATGAGTGTTTACATGCACTTCATAATCTGATAACTGCAGAAAATCTGATTCTGTCAGTAATCCGATCAAGGTGTTTACAAGACGCAGAAAAACACTTTCGGAGCGACACTGCTCGCTATTTTCCGGCACTGCAGTCTGTTCTCGCACATGCGCAGACTGAGAAACCCGAAAGACATGAGAGTAAGAGTTGACATGCACTGAGAAATCTGATTATTGAGCTCTCTTATCCAGCTATCTTTATCAGATTTCTAGACCTTGCTCAGATCTAAGAAATCAGAGTGTGCTGTTTACATGACTATTTAAATAATCGGATAACTGCAGAAATCCGATTATTGTCTGATTATTGAGTGCATGTAAACACACTCACTATTTCTCTAAGAGGCTTTCTGTCCATCTTCCATCTTCAAATTTACTAACATCTTTGTCCTTGGGATCAATTTGACCCCAACAATTTAAACCTCCAGAAAATGATCTGAATTAAGATTGTTACCCAAGTTAATGTGTGACATACTTCGTTTCTTTGGGGGGAAAAAGAATGTAATTTATTTGGAGATGTTGAACACTTGACCCCAAAAATAATAGGAGGGTTAAGAAACTGGACCAAACCTGATGTAACCCCTCCTCCCCAGTTGCTTTTTCATCATCATGTTGAATTTCAAATGAAGTGTATAACATTTCTTTCTCTTTTTCTCCTCCAGAAATGAACAGCGTCCTCTTGCAAGTCTTCCCCTGCTCCATGTGTCCACTTTCCTACACAGCTCAAATTTACCTCCACAAGCACATCAAGAGATGCCACCAAGACGAGTACGTCAAACTGCTGAAATCTGGAGAGATTAAATACGAGAACCTGGCACCGCGGAGAAAGTCCATTACCCGGCAAATGTCATCTTCTTCTTCTCTTCACACGAACGCCGCTCGCAGACGAACGGAGAAAAACGCAGACCAGGAGAAATCCTTCTACTGCTCACAGTGTGGTAAGAGTTTTCCCCACCAGAGCAACCTCCAAAAACACCTGCGCATTCACGCCGGAGAGAAGCCGTACGACTGCGCGGAGTGCGGGAAGAGTTTTATCGGCAGAGGCAGCCTCAAACTGCACCAGCGCACCCACACGGGAGAGAAGCCGTACGTCTGCGCGGAGTGCGGGAAGAGTTTTGCTCAAGTGAGCAACCTCCAGAGACACAGGCGCATCCACACGGGAGAGAAGCCGTACGACTGCTCGGAGTGCGGGATGAGTTTCACTCAACCCAGCAGCCTCAAATCGCACCGGCGCATCCACGTAGGAGAGAAGCCGTATCAGTGCTCGGAGTGCGGGAAGAGCTTCAATCGACAGAGCCACCTCAAACTGCACCGGCTCATCCACACGGGACAGAAACCGTACTACTGCTCCGAGTGCGGGAAGAGGTTCAACCAGCAGAGTAACCTTCAGCGCCACCAGCGCATTCACACGGGAGAGAAGCCGCATCACTGCTCAGACTGCGGGAAGAGCTTTACGACGCAGACTCACCTCCAGCAACACCAGCGCATTCACACGGGAGAGAAGCCGTATCACTGCTCCGAGTGCGGGAAGAGTTTTACTCTCCTGAGCATCCTCCAGCTGCACAAGCGCATCCACACGGGAGAGAAGCCGTACGTCTGCTCTGAGTGCGGCAAGAGCTTTACCATACAGACGAGCCTCCAGAGGCACCAGCACGTTCACACCGGAGAGAAGCCGTACTACTGCTCCGAGTGCGGGAAGAGTTTCACTCAGCAGAGCAGCCTTCAGAAACACCAGCGCATTCACACGGGAGAGAAACCGTATTTCTGCTCCGAGTGTGGGCGGAGCTTCAGGCACGCAAACTCTCTAAAGACGCACAAATGCAGTAACGGGGGTGAAAACTTATGACACGAAATCAGAAAAAAGATTTATCACTTAACCTCAGATGAGCAAAGACATGTCCGGTATCTGCTGGTGTGCTTCTTTAGATTATGAGAGATGCTAGGCTAACATTGCTAACAAACACTGGACTTCATCTCCATAAATACAAGGTGATTCAAAAAGATTCATCCGATTTCAAAATGATTTATTTCACTTCTAAATCATTAAAGATCAATGCAGTAAACTGTAAATGGTATAAATGAGCATAAAGTTTATTATGTAATTGTACAAGTGCTCAATATGAACCTCCTCCAGCTCTACGGACAACATCAACACCATAGTCAAATTCATCCCATACTCGACTGAGGATGTTGGGTGTCGCTGCACTCACAGCTCTTTCAGTGTGATTTCGGAGATCATCCAGTGTTGCTTAAGAGTGGTGGCACATAAACAGAGTCATTAACGTACCCCCACAAAAAAGTCTGGTGATGCTGGTGACCTTTTTCTTGGATCTGCTGGAGGCTCACAGCCATAGTGACAGTCAGAAACTCTATGACCCCCTCTTTGAATTGGATTGTGATTGGTTCCTAGACGCCTCACGGTTGTAAAAATATGGTCCTTTGAAATCGGATGAATCTTTTTGAATCACCCTGTACTTCCCCAGAAATGTCTCTAAAAACGTATCCAGATCTGCATCTGTTTCATGCACAAATCGATGTGATTTAGTACAAGATGGGGCGGTTAGACTGTCATTAGCTTAGCTGAGGTTTATAGTTTAACCTGAGTTTAAACCTGAGTGAGTCACGAGGGTTCTCGAACTCTGCTACTGTGTCCTCGGAAGCTGCGGTTTAAGCTAAACCCATGCTGTGTCGTGTAAAAATCACACATCTGCCATTAGAAGGTGCTGTGTATCAGGTTTAACTGAGGTTTATCTTAAACCTGCCAAAGCTATGGTTTAACTGATGTTTAAGGCCAGATTATTAAGCACATCTTCAGATGTTTTAATATTTCATACCTGAGCCTGTATACCTTCTGTCATAATGTTTTAAGGACTTTGTCGCGTGTTTTAATTTGATGCTATAATGATTCATTAAACACACACTGACGTACCACGCTCAGCTAGCGGAAGAGCTAATCACTGCAGCCTTGATTGGGGTTTTTCAGAATGTATTGTGTGTATTGAATCTAAAGATGTTACTCTTACTGACTCAAAGGAAAACTGGTAAACATGCATTTCATCTCCACAAACATATGTTATCTCAGCTCATATCACTCTGTAGTTCTACAGTTACAGACTGTAGTCCATCTGTTTCTCTGCATACTTTGTTACCCTGTTCTTCAGTGGTCAGGACCCCCATGGACCCTCACAGAGCTGGTACTATTACTACACTAGGTCAGTATTATGAGACACTACGTTATGATGACACAAGTCAGTATAATTATGAGATATAAAGTCAGTGGTGTGAGACACAATCATTATTATGAGACACCAGGTAAGTATTATGAGGCGCTACATCATTATGACAAGTCAGTATAATTATGAGATATAAAGTCAGTATTATGAGATACTAAGTCTGTTATGAAATGCTATATGGCCTTACTTTAAGTGGCAAGAACAGGCTTCCACACCATCTGGCAACAGGAATACAATATTAATTGTATTTGGCCTTATAGTTGGATGCTAGCTGTGTAACTGACTGAGCTGTACCTGATTCTTCTCATTCAGCTCCTTCAGATGTGTTGTTTCAGCATGTTTGTTTGACTGTAAGTCGAAGTTTCGTTACAATTTTTAGATTTTGTCCTCGTTTCCTGCTTTGTGTAAGGCAAAATACAGCTGGACTGTCCCTGTGTGAGTTGTGGAAGAGTGCCTGAGACTGTCTGGACAGTGATAGAGGTATATTTCACTGGTGCGGCCAAACTCGAACATCCCAGTGTGGAACCGACTCCAAAGCTTTGAAGTCGACTCTCCGTCGCCGAACACCTGGATTCGAGGAATCGATTCTTTTTGGGATCGGCTCCCAGCCCTCGCTAGCTCGGCTGAAAACAATGCATTGTCGCAGTTTCTCAGCTGTACCGGGTGCGGATAGACATTTTCTACTTGAACCAAGAGGTTCCAGATCATTCCCACTTGTCTAAGCTGGTGTTCACTGGCTTATTTGTTTGATTTCTTGTCGAAGGGGAGAACTAACGCTGCTCCCATAGTCAGCGAGGTTAGCACTACTGAGGCAGTCGGAGTTGGAGCTAAAGTCAGTGACTAACCTCTGGTTTTCACGATTTACTGGGCTTTCTATTCCAGTAAGAGCAGCAAAACTAATCGTTGGTTAGATTCAGAGCTGGAAAAGCTGTATTTCGGTGTGTTTGTGAGTCTGGAGGAAGAAAATCTAAAGAGAATCTGTGAAGCCATGCTAGCTAACTTACTTCATTCAGTGAGGACGACTGATTCACTTCAGTCTTCTAAAGTGACTGAACTCTGTTTTAGCACTTTCTACATTTCCTAAGCAGTAAAACTAACTGCTGGTGAGGTTTAGAGGAGGAAACGCGCCTCTAAATGTTCATTTTGTGAACAAATGACGAAATCAATTAAAAGGGATTTCCACCAATTAAAAAAAAATCTGCATAATTAAATGGTTCAGATGTAAACAGAGTCATTCAGAGTGGTTTGGTGTGAAACGCTCTGTTCTAGAGAAACGTACTGAGTCAGAATTCATAGTGGTGTTGATTGGATTATCGAGGCCACAAATTAATATAATGAGGCTAAAATTCACTATGTTGAGGCCACAAATTAATCTATTGAAGTCATAAATTACTATGTTGAGGCCATAAATTAATCTATTGAAGCCATAAATTAATATACTGAGGCCACAAAATAATATATTGAAGCCACAAATTAATAAAGGCCATAAATTAATATATTGAGGCCACAAATTAACATCGAGGCTTCAATTTACTGTATTGAGGCCACAAGTTAATATATTGAAGCCAGAAGTTACTATGCTGAGGCCACAAATTAATATATTTAGGCAATAAATTAATATATTGAGGCCATGAATTGTTATATTCCGCTGCAGTTATGTTGCATGTAACATTGAGTGCTTTTACATGCACCCAATAATCCGATCATAATCGGATCTCTGCAGTTATCTGATTATTCAAATGCTCATGTAAGCAACATACTCCGAGTCTAGACAAGTCTAGAAATCTGAAAAAGAGGCTGGATTTTAGCTCAGTAATCAGATTTCTCAGTGCATGCAAACTCTTACTCTGATTTCTCTCTCAGTCTGAGCATGTGCGAAAACGAATGACGGTACCGGAAATAAGTGAGCAGCGTCGCCGCAAGACGCAGTAAAACACTTTTGGAGCAACACTGAAACCAAGTACATGCTCGACGAAATGAAGGACTTAAATATTTTTCCTTTTCTAGATGATGTATGTTCATATTTTCAGGTAAAGTGGCACAATGTTTTTTTAAAAAAAGTTTGAAGTTACGTTTACATCACATCATCTGAGAGTTTATTGGCTGGTTCAAAGCAGAAATCTGATTACTGTCTGACTCATGTAGACCCGAAGTTTCCCCATTACCTGATTACCCAAGAACATGTAAACACGTTGATCGGATTACTGACAAAATCTGATTTTCTGCAGTTATCGGATTATTAAGTGCATGTAAACACTGAGTTTCTTGTATTTTTTCCTTTTTTTCAGAAATCACTGCCGTCTTCTGCTCCACACCAAGCTCAGATCCAACTCCACAAACATTTCAGAAGGTGCCACCATGAGGATCAAGCACATTCTGCAATAAGGAGAGGTTGAGTATGAAACTTTGATGTAAACATCAGTAAACATCTGGCCCCCTTCCCCACATCGTTCAGGCCATCATGGCCGAAAAGACGACCTACATCTGCTCGGACTGTAGGAGGAGTTTTACTGGGCAGAGTCATCTCCAGAGACACCAGCGTGCTTACACAGGAGAGAAGCCCTACCGCTGCTCGGAGTGCGGCAGGCGGTTCACCCAGGTGAGTAACCTGTATCGGCACCGGCGCATTCACACGACTGAGAAACCCTATCGGTGCTCGGAGTGCGGGAAGAGCTTCACTCAGCAGAACCACCTCCAACGACACCAGCTGGTCCACACGGGACAGAGATCCTACTACTGTTCAGAGTGCGGGAGCGTCTTCACTCTGGAGACTCATCTCAGAAGACACCAGCGTGTTCACATAGAGAAACCGTACTGCTGTTTGGAGTGTGGCGAGAGTTTCACTCACCAAAATGGATTAGTGGTGCACCAGAGCGTTCGCACGTGCTACCTGTGAATGTAACGTAGGATGCAAGTGCAAGTTGCTTATATTAAAATGAGATTCAACAGAGTCCAAAAACACAGTGGCAGAGGTTAGTGGAACAGATAAATCCATGACAAGACAAAACAAAGTAAAACAGAACTAAAACAAAACCAACAACCAGAGAAACCGGCGACAACAACAGGGTATACAGACAAAGGGACTGAGCAAACACAGGGGTATAAATACACTGAGGGGAAACAAGAAACACCTGAGACTAATAAGAGGGTGGGGCTGCAGACTACACGCAGGTGGAGCAGGCGACAAAGGGGGCGGGACCAGGGAGGAGACAGACCAAAACCACAACAGCACATGTTTTAAGAAGACAAAGGCACATAGCAGACATACAAAAACACACAGCACCGGGAAACCAAGAAAAAGGCAAAAACAGAGAAAGACCCGGACAAAGTGAACAGATGTTACGGTGAACTTGTCAAATCAAGAAATGTGACTTTCTTTCTTTTTTGTTGTTGTTTTTCTTTTGGGTTTACATTAGTTTGTTGTCATTCCCGGGAAGACATTATGTTGCATTTTTGTCATTTAATGTACAATTTTCCTTTTAGTAAATTTATACACTCAAGCTGATTCACTAATTAAGCAGTAGAACACGAGAGGGAGTGTGTTATGGCGGAATCACATGACGAGTGCCGTAGATCATCACAGCCGTGATGTTATTGGCGATAACACACTCCTCGAGTGTTCTATTGCTTTTATACAACAGTTAAATAAATAAAGTAATAAATTAATAAACTGGGCCGTGAACGCGGCGTTTAATATGTTTTAATGTTTGCAGTTCCTTCACCAAATTATAGTTCCTTAACAAGCAGCTTGTTGCTACGTCAGAGTAACGAGCTCCGCCCACTCGCTGCACAGCCGGCAGTTCGTTCTCCAGCTCCTTACACTAAATTCAAGATATATATGTATATATAATTTAATACCATTTGCCAAGCATGTAGTCTGATCTTCAGAGTCTGACCAAATCAGACTGAGCCATAAAACTGCCGCAATATCAAGTTCAGCTCAGTTTTGTCATTTTTTGCCAGATCAGTATTAATGTTGTTTTGTTCCAGCCAGTCTGTAAAACATCTTACAGCCCATTTAGTTTGGCGAATGGTGTTGGGTTCATTTCTGGCTGATTCCAGGTTCTTCAGCTGTCTCAGCTGCCGACTGAAAAGCTGCTCAGTGGTGATGAGAGTTTGGGAATTTAGTGTCGTCTCATCTTCAGAGTCTGACCAAATCGGCTGCCGGTCAAATGGACACCCTTGGTGTAAGATTATGAGTGATTACATGTAAATGTAATTGTAGATTAAAACACTATGTTAAAGCACTGTTTACACAGATCTGTCCGGCTTTCCACCAGCACATTGATACCAGTGTGATGGGTGAGTATAGAGCCGATCCCCACATGCAGTGGAAGGATCACAGGAACACTGTTAGTCATTATAACTTCAGGAACAAGAAATAAGGCTCAGCATGTTTATTACTGATTGATGTTTACTGTGTCTGTGTAATAAAACTAATGTACTTACCTGCTGTATGTAGAGGCAACATATACACTTCGGCCACAAAGTGAACGTCATTTAAGAGAAATTCTTAAGACTGACTTCAAAGTGGCCTCACATTTCCTACTGGGAGCGAATTAATATCTCCATTTCAGCAAGAGGAAAAAATCTACATAATTAACTGGTTAAGATGTAAACAGAGTCGTTCAGAGTGGTTTGGTGTGAAACGCTCTGTTCTAGAGAAACTTACCAGTCAGAATTGTTCACAGTGGTGGTGATGGGAATATCGAGGCCACAAGTTAATCTATTGAAGCCCCAAATTACTACATTGAGGTCATAAATTCCTATATTGAGGCTGTAAGTTAATATATTAAGGTCATGAATTTAAATTGAGGCCACAAATTAATATATTTAGGGCATGAATTACTACATTGAGGCCACAAATTCACATTTTGAGCCTAGAAATTACTATATTGAGGCCACAAATCAATATATTTAGGCAACAAATTTACTATGTTGAGGCCATAAATTAATATATAGAGGCATCGAATTAACATATTGAGGCCACAAAATACTATAATGAGGCCACTAATTAATATATTGAAACCACAAATTACTATATTGAGGCCATAATTAATATATTGAGGCCACGAGTATACATACACCAGTATGTTAATATTGGAATGTATTATGTTAATAACCTTGTCACTATAGGGGCTCCATAGGTTTTTACTGTAAATATCTAAAGGAATTCCCCTTTTTACATTCACAAGAAGCGAATAAACATCTCCATTTCAACAAGAGGACCTGAGTAGTTGAGTAATTAAAAAAGGTAATGAGTTGTGGTTCATCATAATTATGATTAGGATTGGATGAATGTGTGAATAATTGCATTCTGGGGCACGAAAGTCAGACTAAAAGTCATCTAGCATAGCTATTTATTTTTCATAGCTATACATTTTTCACAATGCCGCCTCATGTATGTCCATGACGTCAGTGAGCATGAACAGCCAATCAGCTGCTCTGTCTTTTTTAATGAGCAGCATTATGTCATGACTTTATTTTCAGGGACCCCCAAAATTTAGATTTTGAGACAATCAGGGGGTCCCAGACCCCCCCAGGAGCCCCTGTACTTCACACCTTGTCTGCACGGTGAGCTTCCTATGGGTGTCTGAACAGCTGTCTTCAAATATCAAATGAGGACTCACTGCTTTGAAAACATTAAAATGAATACTTAATGAATTGTCCTGCAACTGCAAACAATGAACCGTCCGATCTCTTTATAGTCAAAAAGTACTAAATAATTCAGATCATTACACTAAGCACAGACCAAAAATTTAATCATGTACTGTGCAAATTTATTTAGATTACAATGTTACATGAAACAAAAATAGTCAATAATGAAATACATTTAATTTATGTTCATAAATGCCTTCAACAGTAATAATAATAATAATAATAATAATAGCACACAATCTAAAAAAAAAGTACAAAAAGGCGACAAATTCACGTCATCAATTCACTAATTCTTTACTGCACTTGTGTCTCTTTAAAGACCCTGAATTCCTGAAGTCGCGCCCACACTCGGCGCAGTGATGCGGCTTCTCTCCCGTGTGAATGCGCAGGTGCAGGTGAAGATGACTCCTCTGATTGAAGCTCTTCCCGCACTCCGGACAGATGTACGGCTTCTCTCCCGTGTGGATGCGCAGGTGTAGCTGCAGGTTGCTCTTCTGAGTGAAACCCTTCCCGCACTCCGGACAGTTATACGGCTTCTCGGCCGCGTGGACGCGCTGGTGCTGCTGGAAGCTGCTCAGCAGAGCGTAGCTCTTCCCGCACTCCGGGCAGTGGTACGGCTTCTCTCCCGTATGGAAGCGCTGGTGCATTTTGAGGGCCATTCCGTCGCTGAAACTCTTCTCGCAGTGCGAGCAGTGGTACGGCTTCTCTCCGGTGTGGATGCGGTGGTGCAGCTTGAAGTGACTGTGCCGTTTGAAGCTCTTCCCGCACTCTGAGCAGTAATACGGCTTCTCTCCCGTGTGCATGCGCTGGTGCAGCTGGAGATGACCGCGCTGCCGGAAAGTCTTTCCGCACTCGGAGCACTCGAAAGGCTTCTCTCCTGTGTGAATGCGCTGGTGCTGCAGGAGGTTGCTGTGTTCGATAAAGCTTTTCCCGCACTCAGAGCAGCGATGCGGCTTCTCCCCCCGGTGCCTGCGCAGGTGCAGCTGGAGGTTACTCTTTTGACCGAAACTCTTCCCGCATTCGGAGCAAGTGTATGGCTTTTCTCCTGTGTGAGCGCGCTGGTGTATCTTGAGGTGACTACTTTGGGAAAACCGCCTCCCGCACTCCGAGCAGCCGTACGGCTTCTCTCCTGTGTGAATGCGCTGGTGCAGCTGGAGGTAAGTGCGTTCGGTGAAACTCTTACTGCACTCGGAGCAGCGGTGAGCTCTCTCCTTGCCTGAGTCCTTCTGCAGAAGTCTGCGAGACGGCGTCTGCTGAGGGCTGGAGCTCGCGAGGTCCTCATATTTAATCTCGCCTGATTTCAGCAGCCTTAAATACTCCTCCTGGTGGCACCTCTTCATGTGGCGGTGATGGAAAGCTTTGGACGTGTAGGAAAGTGGACACAAGGAGCAGGAAAACACCTGCGTCTGGACATCACTCGTTTCTGAAGGAGGAAAAAAAAGGGAAACACACTTTAAGTAAACGATGTTCAGATATTTAACGTTAATTAAAGATAATAAAAATCATGCACTGCTAAAATATCATCTTATAGTCAGTAAATCTAATATTGCTTTAAGTGATTTTATTGAATAAATTATCTCACTATATATAAATTAATCTATTTTGTGTGAAATCACACTGTATAGTCGCTGCCATTTTGAGGACTGAATCAGGGAGTGACTGAGCTGCATGATGCCTTCAATCTGCTGTGCTTTGTGAATGATTCACCTGCAAGACGTGACAGAAGCCGAGAGACGAGAGACACACAGACCTTTAATTCAGTGTTTTCACTCCAGGCTTGGAGCTCCTGCACTGTATAGTTCAGTGTTCCTCTCTGCTGTTCACCTCGTTCAGCTCAAGAAGGGATTAATTTGCTAATAATATCAGGTATTTTAACCAGGAAACCACAGTTATGCAGTGCAGGGGTTTCAGGACTGGAGCTGAACTCTGCACTAACTGCACTAGCAAACTTACAGAATCACGTCTGTCGAAACACAACGTCGTTTTCCGACCCACGACATTCAGTCTGATATTTAACACTTATGTTTCTCATTTAAATCTCCAGAAACAGAGAGTAAAGTTATACCGGCTGTCTGCAGCTTCGTTAGGGGGCGACTGTTCATCTCTCGGCTGATAACATCAGCTAAAAGTTCTCTAAAGGCCAGCATTGTTCACATCTGTGTTAATTAGCTGATGTCGTTACCCTCCTATGATCACAGAGTTTATCTCCTCTTTATGTAACACCATGGGATCCTTTACCCACCCTGACGTGAAGAGCCGGTGGGCTTCTGTGCTTTTAAATGCTCTGAGAGACTGAGAGAGGGGCCGAGTATGAGAATAAGATAAGGATCACAGCCTGTTTTATCGTCTATGTCGAGGAACGTTTTTCTCTTCCACAGTAAGCAGAGCAATTTTAGCCGTCTTTCACCTCCGGTTACGTTCGTGTGGAACAGAAAAATCATGTGAGGATAGCGAGATAATTTTTCTTGATAAAATGGCTTAAAACAGGTAAAAATGCCTAGAAATAAGCTAGATAATCTTATAAGTGTACAGCCATCGCAAAATAAGAAATATTAGATAGATCAACTAGAATTAAGATCATTTCACTTGACAAGATACTATTTTCTGCAGTGTGAATGACTGAAAACGTAATCTTGATGTAAAACTTCAGACACAACTGGTGTATTTACTGGTTCTCAGCCTGTCGTTGGTGATCTCTGCACTACACAGATCCCTTTTCCACTCCTAATGAAGAACTTATTCAGCTCCTTAGAGCTGAGGAAACACGTCATGCAGCTTCAAATAAACAAACATCACTTTTAAGATCAAATAATCACAGTAAAACTAGTGTTTGGACCTTTTCGCGGAGCACTTTCTGTTCCAGAGGTAGTCGAACGTGATGTCGTGATTTCTGGCGTACTCCTCTGCATACCACACCAGGAGCTCCTGCCCCGGTTCGATGGGTCGACAGCAACGGTACAGAATCCCCCCTTTATACTGGAACGCCACCAGATTCTGCTCTTCATCGTTACGAGCGCAATTCACATACCTGAGAGAGACACGGGAATAAAGAGAAAGAGCGAGAAAGATAAAGCAAGGAGTGAAAGGTTGTACACCGAATTAGTCATTGAGTCAAAATAAACAGCCGATAAGCTGCAGACATCAGCACTGCGTTCCTCACCTCATCCAGTTAGCGTGAGTCTCTCTCTTAGCATCTATGTATTCAGCACACTGCCCCTTTTTGTGCAACTGCAAAAAAGTTAACACATTTCATTGTTTATGCGACCAAGACTTATTGAAGGAGCTGTGCAGGAAACAGCGCTGCAAAGATGCACCATGCATGCTTCATTTTTTAGAGCATGCATGTGTGAAACGTGTACAAAGTGAAGCACATTTTAAAGGGGACCTATTTGGCTCACTTTCAGTGTTTATGAACTTTATGGTCTACTAGAACAGATTTACTTCAATATTCCAAAAACACATGATCACTGAGTTCCAAAGCCTGGGCTGCAGCCGAGGTAGTACAAGCAGAGAACTTGTAGAGAGGAGAATTATCACTCTGTATGTCTTCTGGGTTTCTCAAACACAAGAGGGCGCTCCTGAGCGAGTTCAAAATGACTGGGTTAAGATGGAGCATTTGAGTAAAATCATAGTTTATAAATGATTAAATGATTTTTAATATAAAAGAATAAAATCATTTCCTGAACACAGAACAGCATAAAACATTTTAACACCGCTGTTATATTTTAAAGAGCTTTTAAACTCGAGTTGTAGGAGTTTAAAAAGGCGCCTCATGTACGTTCATGATGTCAGTGAGCGCGAACAGCCAATGAGCTGCTCCGCTCGGCAACCAATCAGCACTCAGTATCAGTAATGTTAGTGTCCTGCTGCCCAAAACCCGTTTGCTGTAGAAGAAGGAAACATACAGGTGAGTTTCATTGTTTTTTAGTGAAATCCATCCTTCTACTTTCTAAAATTGAAGGAAAGTTCTGGTTCAGTGATTAGAGACTATTTTAACTTTTCGCTTTTAGCCGTTGAGCTCCATTCACTCCCATTCGTTGAGGACTCGCTCGCGGGCATGGTGTGGGTCCTCGGTAGGACTGTCCTATGAAGACTCCTTCTTAGTAGCCTACTGGTCACACACAAATGGACCAGTCCTAACTAGGCTGCGTAGTGACGTTCTGAAACTTGTGAAAGAGCTGGTGAGAGAAAATGGAGCCCGTTGCATTGTGTTTGTTGCTTTTTCATTTCTTCACAGAAATGGTGGAGATTACATACATACAAATACTTCTAAATAAAATACGATATATGGACGAATGCTTTAATTAATCAGTCATTCTGCACTTTATAAGGTAACGAAGACAAATTCAAGGATGTGAACAACTTACATTTTAAAACAAGCTCTGCTCCAACGGCTTTGTTTTCCGCCATTTCCGTAGGCTGCATTTCTAGGCTGTATACGTAGGGTCCCTCACTTTGAAACGGCCTTCTATGACGTAGCAACCAAGAAATGCAGCCCAGACTTTGGAGCACAGCTAATATTTCTCATACTGTATGTCTCTATTCATCCACTGTTAGAGCTCCTGTGTCTTTAAGCCCCGCCTCCTGATGAGCCCAGCGTGCTCTGACTGGTCAGCTCGCCCACTCTGTTCTGCGTGGTCAACTGCCAGAGCAGCATCCTGCTACAAGCTCTGCCCCCACACCACCGTGGCTGTTCTTACAACAGCGTCGGTTCTGCCGAGTCAGTTTGAGCCAGAGTAGATCCACCTTCGCCAGCCAGACTGGAGCAGGACGTTTCAGAGCCGGAAGGTTTTACTCTGTAGCTCTCTATGTGGGGTGTGCCGAGCTCGCCGGTAGGCAGGCAGTAAGGACTGACATCATCTTGTAACAAAGGAAAAGGGCTGGAATTCCAACGAGGCGTTTCAGGCAGCTGAGAAAAGTGGTTTGTGTGGGAGAGAGTTTCTCCCTCTGGAGCGAACTTTGAGCTTTGTGACTTTACAGAACGTTTACATGCACAAAAAGCTACAACTCACTGAAGGAAAGAGAAAAACTGGAAAAGCATAATAGGTCCCCTTTAAAACAGAAGCACTACCGCACCACTTCTGCATCACACCATTATCATTTTAACAGCACAAGCTGTCAGTCATTCACACTTTTTTTTTCTTACTCACCACCCAAGAGTATCTGCTGTTTATGGCTTCCTCTTTGTCCGTCAGGTCTCCCTCGTAGGGCCCAAAGTGTGTACCAACAGGAATAGTCTGCCTTTGGTTAAACACTCCCAGATCTGAGTCTGTAATACCAGAGCACCGAACCTCCAAACCATCTGGAAGGGTCTGTCTGGCTCTGTCAGCGACCCCCACAGGAACAGCGGTGTCAGGGATGAAGACCACTGGTCCATGAACCTCACACTCACCTGTGAAGAAAGATCTGCACTCCTCACAGTCTGAAAAAGGAAGAATCAACAAAAAATAAAAAACAACACACAACTGTGAACTTCTGAAGAATTAATATGGTGTGTATATATATATATATATATATATATATATATATATATATATTTATATGTATCGCTGCTATCAGAACAGACCACGTATCTCCAAAATGTTAACTTTAGAGGAAAAGGAAAAAACATACTTGACCTTTAATGTAAATCAGACGGTTTTCCAAGCATTTTTTGGGCCATTTTTTGGTCCATTCATCATGAAATTTATACACATGCATTTTCAAATGACAACAACTGAAAAAACTGCAAAAATGGAGATACAAGGTTTGTCCCGACAGCAGCGATATAAATATACATACAGCATGTGTGTGACGTCAACGATGACACCTTTTTCCCCACTTAATTTTTTTATACTTTACATGAAACAGAATGTGTCATACAGAAACATAATGAGGTGAGAGACGACAATATATGCATATAACTGATACATCCTCAGTCTGCTCTCTCATTCTGGACGGACTTTATGTAAATTAACCAAAGCAGTGACCAATCAGGCTGTTATGTTGCACGGTAACCGACTGTGTCACACCCACAGCCACACGGTGAGATTTAACACTGGAACTCACAGAGTGGGAGATATAATGGTTGATGAAATATTATTAGACTGGATGATAAAAACAGTATTAAGCTGCTTTGGGGTTCAGAACTGGCCTCTATCTCAGCTTTCTGTTTAAACCTCAACCGGCACGATTTTCAGCAACGCTCCTCAAAAGCGGCCAACGGTTGTTGAGGAAAGAGATTCGGCTCACTTTGATGAAAATACAGAGTTAACTGAAATCAGTGCAGCGCTACTGCAGATATTGGACAAAAAATTAAATAAATAAACAAACATTTTAAAAAGTAATATTATATAAAGAAAAATACAAGCACACACTTAACAAGTTCAGAGCTCTGCATTATTACTGTTTTTAGCCACTGCAGTCCTGAAATCGGGGGTGCTTTAGCGTCCCTGTGTGTGAGACCAGATACTTGTGGGCTTATATACACACACACATATATATCGCTGCTGTTAGAACAAAACCTTGTATCTCCGTTTTTTGTCGTTTTTTAGTTTTTGACATAATTTGAGAATACCTGTTGTCCTTTACATTGTGTGTACAATTCATGATGATCGGACCATATATATATATATATACACACACACACACACACACACACTACAGTACTACTGTTTCCTGATGACATGGGTTAAAATAGCGGCTGTGTGATTTGTGTAGAACGTACGTTTGAATATAATACCAAAAAAACTTTCCATATACTGACAGTATAAAAATACGGAAGTCTATATTTTGACTACATGGATCACATTTTCATGACATTATACAATTCTAGTCTTGAATGTAAAACCGTCATTGCGCTTGTAATTTAGCCAAAGACTGGATCCATCCAAATAACGGATTATTTGCCTGTTTTCCTTACAGAGGTCGTCTTCATGTTTCAGTTCTTCCTCTTCACTGTAGCTGAGGTTTGGGCTGTGGGGGACGTTGCTTTCACAGGTGTAGCTGTTCAGCTGCACCTTCTCCTTCTTCAAACAGCCCCCTGATGTGCGCACAGACACAGAAACACACACACTTAAAAACACTGTGTAGAAACTGCGTTTTTAAAGAAAAAATACTTTATTCGTAACTCAGTGTGTCAACCTGAAATGGGGGATCCGGGCTTATTCTGGAACTCTCCATTCTGTCGGCCCACAAGGCCTGATGTCCCACCACCATCTGAAGCGGTACGTGCCTCTGCCTGTATATCCGAACAAAGGAGAAGGTGAACAAAGAAAAATGACCTGCTTGTAAGCTTTACTTTGATATCAGGAAAAGGTAAACAGAATGTACCATTAATAATACACAATATAGTTCTACAGTTAATCAGGTGGACCCCAAACCCAGTCGTAGGGACCCCACACACTGTACTGTGTGTTCTTGATAATTCAACAAACCTAATTGAACTAGCTAGTTAATTATGATGCTTTTCATGAACTGGTTCAGATGAGAAAAGTGAAGCAGATTTCACTACTATCTTAATCCCGTCTTATTGCCAATATGTTGAACTCAGAAAATGGAAACTGTGCACTGAAATTCACAGAAAAATACCACGTTTAAGTTTATCTGTAGAGGATGTCTCATTTTAGTTAACTTATTACAAGGAGGTGGTCATAATGTTATGCCTGATTGGCGTATGTTTGCCGTCATCCAGAACAGGGTTTCTCAACCACTGGGCCGTGGACCACAAATGGGCCCTGAAGCACCCTGTGGAGGTCCTCGAGCCAATACAGAGGAGGAGCCAGTGTTGGTACTTTGTCATAAAAGACTAATGTCTCAACTGACTTCAAAAGTCAAATTGACCTAATAATAACAACAAATAAATATAAAATGTTCCCAAATGGTAAACAATCCTGATATAAGTCATGCAACAATGGTGCAATCATCTATTTTTTGCCCCTTGTCTCTAGAAACAAAAGACACTGCCCTAAAATTTTCAATTGTCCACTCATATCTAGCTTAATTTACCCCAGCTCCTCCTGATTTCAGGTATAAAACAAGCTTATGTTTGCCGTCTATCTGTTGATATCTAATGTTCAGCGATGTACACAGCATGTTGTGCCACCTGCAAAATTGTTGTGTTGAAAATTTCCCCAAAAATTAATTTTTGAAGCATTTTTGATTTTCCTGTCGGCCTCCATGCTTTCTAGTGATAAATAGAAATTGGAAAAGGTTGAGAACCCCTGATCTAGACAAAGACAGTCTGTGTTTGAATAAGGCAGTGTTTTACAAGCCTAACCCAGGTGTGTCCAATTTTACCCACAAAGGGCCGGTCTAAACAAGCAGGAACACCTGATCCCACTGCTTTAACCCCTTGAACAGCCAACTTTTATTACACACCTCTATAATCTAAGAATAGCTCAGCCAGTTTGCACTGAAGTCCCTGTAGTTACTGAATAATAAGCCTTAGTGTGTAATAAGGCTGAGATTTTAAGGGGTTAAACAAATTCTCACAAAATGCTTCATATATCAAACCTGAAATAACACCTGGCTGTGATCTTAGACTCTGAGCTGTTTTATCTGCAAGTAAACGCAGCCACTAGTTTTTTATCATTTGAGAAAAATCATTGAAGTTCTGCCTTTTCTGTCTCAGAGCGACGCGGAGAAAGTTTGTGTGTTTGTTACAGCAGAGTTGATCACTGTAATGGTCGTCTTACTTGACTTCCTAAGAAAACAATACATCCTTTACAACTCGTACAAAATACAGCAGCACAGATCCTCACAACAACTCAGAGAGACCACATCACTCCTGTTTAGAAGCTGCACATGCTCCACTAAAAAGATGGTTCTTCAAGGGTTCTTTAGTAAAGAAAATGGTTCTATGTAGAACCAAGAACACTCAAAGAACCCTTTGCATGATTATTATTATATTTGCATTGTGAAATGGTTCTTCAGATTGTGCTGTGAATGGTTCTATACTGAATCTTTGTGAAAATGTCTATAGCACCAAAAGGGTATTGTTACAAGACATCAGCAGAACCCTTTTTGGTGCTATGTAGAACCAACACAATCTCCGTCAATCTTAAGAACCATTTCACCATGCTAAGAACCATTTAAGCATTCTATATAGAACCATTCCCTCCTTCTACTGCGATGATGTCAAGCTTGTAGCAATAGAGGAACGCTTTTTAGGTGCTCTATAGAACCCGTTTCAAAAAGGTTCTATATAGACCCATATACAACATTCTTCATCAATCTGAAGAACCATTTCGTGATGCAAAGAACCCTTCAAGCATGCAAATGGTTCTATATAGAACCATTGTCGTCTTCTTTTGAGATGAAGCTTGTAGCAACAGAAGAACCTTTTTGGTGCTGTATAGAACCCCTTTCAAAAAAGTTCTATATAGATTCATATACAACACATTCTCCGTCAATCTGAAGAACGATTTCACCATGCTAAGAACCATTTAAGCATAAAAATGGTTCTATATAGCACCATTCCTTTCTTCTTTTGTGATGAAGCTTGTAGCAACAGAAGAACCTTTTTGGTGCTGTACAGACCCCTAACACCTTTCCCAAAGGTTCTAAATAGAACCATATACAACACATTCTCCATTAATTGGAAGAACCATTTCATGATGCAAAGAACCCTTTAATCATGCAAATGGTTCTTTAAGCATTCATAGTTCTATATATATAACCATTTTCTTTACTAAAGACCTTTTTTCAGGACAGATTTTAAAGTTCTGCTACTAGTTTTTAAAGCTCTAAATGACCTTAAAGCTCCTGTTTACATCACAGAGTGTCTGTTTGTTTATGGTCTGTTTCAGTAAAACACAGAAAACATAGAGACTCTTTCAGTTATTCTGCTTCTAAACTGTGGAGCTCAGTTCACCTTTTATTAGACAGTCGAGCTCAGAGCTCACTTTTAATAAACACCTGAAAACGCAGCTCATTAAAGCTCTACATCTCTGGTGTTTATCTATTAATCTGATCTGTGTCGTTTTCTTATATGACTTTAAATTAATACTCATAGTTTCTTCTATCACTGTTGGGGTTTATCACCTGTCTGGAAAGCACTGTGAGCAGCCACTGCTATGAAAAGAGCTCTATAAATAAAAGATATTATTATTATTATTATTATTATTATTACGCACTCTCAAAAAATAAAGAAAATGGTTCTACATGGAACCAAGATCACTCAAAGATCCCTATGCAGTATTAAAAAGTTATTAGCATGGTGAAAGGGCTCTTCAGATTGATGGAGAATGCGCTGTAGATGGTTCTACAAAGGACCAAAAAGGGTTCTTCTATCGTTACAAGCTTGACACCGTAACAATAGAAGAACGCTTTTTGGTCCTATATAGAACCCTTTTCAAAAAGGTTCTATACAGAACACATTCTCCATCAATCTGAAGAACCATTTCACCATGCAAATAACTTTTTAATCATGCCAGGGGTTCTTTGAGTGTTCATTGTTCTATATACATCCATTTTCTTTACTAAAGAACCCTTGAGGAATCATAGAACCATCTTTTTTAGGTGTGTACTACTACCACTACTACTACTAATAAAATAATAATAACAGTTATTAATATTATTAATATTATTATATGTAGTGTCAGGGTTTAGGTACATGATGCTTCTTCAAGGGTACATTAGTAAAGGACATGGTTCTATATAAAACCATTTGCATGCTTAAGTGGTTCTTAGCATGGTGTTGGTTCTATATAGCAGCAAAAATGGTTCTGCTGTTGTTACGATACCGAGCTTGTAACGATAGAAGAACCCCTTCGGGTGCTATACAGAACCATTTTCTACCAAGGTTCTATATAAAACCGTCTATAGCACATACAAGCACATTTTCCACCAATCTGAAGAACCCTTTAAAGATGCAAAGAACACTTTAATCAGGTAATTAGGGGTTCTTGGTTCTATATAAACCCATTATCTTTACTAAAGAACCCTTGAAGAATCTTTTTAAGAGTGTATTATTAACCTGCTTCAGTCAGACAGCTGATCATGTGATCTGCTTAGCTGTAATGGAAACCTGCAGCCACACCTGCCCTTTGAGGATGAGATTAGAGGCCTCTGCTCTCACCTGTGAGTTGAGAGATGGGTTGGAACAAAAACGTGGACCGTCTGCGGATCTGGTTTATAAACCACTGTGATAAAGGATGTAGCGAATAATATTACACTACATTCAAATAAAGAGCTGATGCTAATGTCAGCTAAAAGGCTAATATTAACCTTCAACATGTTGGGCAGCATCTAACAAAGATATCCTTTAAACTGGACAATGAACATGTAAGTCAACCATACATCACTTGAACTGGCTCACCAGCTGACCACATTCTGAATATTTATGTATGCATGCCATGTATAAAATATGAGAATAGGGACGAGAACCAAGGGAACGTATAAGTATATGGTTCTGGGGTTACTGTAGTCCAGTTATGGCAGAGTCGACACGGGTCTGTCATTCCGATTTGGGCCAGTGTACTTCCCTGACACTGATCTGCACCATAGAAATCCTTTATGTCTCCCACATCCACTGTATATATAACCCTTATAAACCTGTCACTGTAATATCACTGCTGTCCTAAGAAAACCTCGTATCTCCATTTTTTGTCGTTTTTTCAGTTTTTGACATAATTTGAAAAAGACTGTTGTTCTTTACATTGTGTGTACATTTCATTAAGAATGGACCAAGAGAAACGGCCCAAAATGACTTGGAAAAACGTCCGGTTCCATTGACTTACATTAAAAGTAAAGTGTGTTTTTTCCTTCTCCTGTAAAGTTAAAATTTTGGAGATGTTCCGACAACAGTGATATTCTTCTATGCTATTGTTGCTCTGCTGCAATACTTTACATATGCTCTAAAAAAAAGATGGTTCTTTAAAGGGTTCTTTAGTAAAGGCAATGGTGTGAACAATCTATTTAGAACAATGAGCTCTATATAGAACTATTTGCATGCTTAAATGGTTCTCTGAATGGTGAAATGGTTCTTCAGATTGATGGAGAATGTGTTGCATGTGGTTCTATATAGAACCTTTGTGAAAATAGTTCTAATATAGCTCTATATAGCATCAAAAAGGGTTCTTCTATAGTTACAAGGTTTACACAGTAACAATAGCACAACTCTTTTTTGTTCTAAGAACCATTTAAGCATGCCAATGGTTCTATATAGAACCATTTCCCTTACTAAAGTACCCTTGAAGAACCATCACGTACCTAAAACCTGTCACTACATATAATAATAATAAATAATAATAATAATGATAACAATAATAATAATAGCTGTTGTTATTATTATTAGTAGTAGTAGAAGCAGCAGTAGTACACTCTTAAAAAAAGATGGTTCTTAAAGGGTTCTTTAGTAAAGAAAATATTTCTATACAGAACTATGAACACTCAAAGAACCTTCTGTGTGATTAAAGGGTTCTTTGCATAATGAAAGGGTTTTTCAGATTGATGGAGAATGTGCTGCAGGTGGCTCTATATAGAACCTTTGTGATCATGGTTCTATAAAGCACCCAAAAGCGTTCTTTTATTGTTTCAGTGTCAAGCTTGCAACAATAGAACAACCCTTTTGGGTGCTATATAGAACCATATATGACACACTTTCCATCAATCTGAAGAACCAACCAGCTTTTAATCATGCAAAGGGTTCTTTGAGTGCTCATGGTTTAAGAGTGTAGTATATATATATATATATATATATATATATATATATATAATATATATGTATAAGGGGTCTTTTTCACTCAAGGAACCCTCAGCCACCTTCAAACCGACTCTTGTGGAAAGAACTGGGCCGGATTTGGGAAGCATTACGTGGCCAACTTTCCTGTGGTCCTCCTGGGATAACAACAACAACAACAACACAACAACAACAACAACAACCACAAGGTGGAGAAGATGAACAAGGCTGCACTTATTAAACCTAAAACACCTACTAACTAACTAAGTATCCATATCCAGATCCATATATCCATGTATTTTAGGACACCTGGAGTACGAAGCTGGCGAATAGGAAGCCAACTACAGTATTATTTACTCTGGTCCCTGCGGACCACAATGGACAGACCTGTGGGGACATTTTAGTCCGTTAAGCTTCTCTCGGTGAAGTCAGACTGTCTCGGACTCTCACCCAGAAACGACGCTCGTTGTTGTTGTTGTGTTAGAAAACACAAACAGTGTTTAATACAAAGTTATAAACACAGTGAACGGTAACTCAACTCACCTCCACAGAGGAGCTCGTGTTGACGAGCACTGGAACAAAGCCTACGTTCCCAACTAAGTACAAAGGGCCTCCGCCTACAAACACGAGCGAGGCGAACGGTGCGTTAGCGAACGCCAGCGTGACGGTAACGTAAACACCTGCCAGGTGCGAATATGTTTCGGTTCTGTTTGTAGCCGAGCAGCTCAGCTAACTCGGACAGCAAGCCCCGCCTCCTCAGCGACGGTCGGTTAGTAATATCCCGCCTCCTGCGCCACGATTGGCTATCGCACACTGCTCCTTGCACCGCGATTGGTTGGTAGTATCACTAGCCGTCTGCTGATTGGACCCTTAAGAAGGCCTTCACGTCACCATAGCAACCGCGGAGCAGTGCACCGTCGAATGAGTCTGAACTTGTTTTGAGCTCCGGTTTTCGGCTGTGTCCCAAACTGAAGGCCGCTGTCTCGATGCTCGGCTGCCTCAAAAGTCACTGCCTTGGAAGGCATCGCTATTAAGGAGGTGTTTTCGAAGGCAGGAATACACTATATGCCCAAAAGTATGTGGACGCCACTCCTATGTGTTGTGTTCAGGTGTTGCAGCCACACCCATTGCTAACAGGAGTACACGGCCAAGCACGTAGCCATGCAGTCTCCATAGACAAACACTGGCAGTAGAATTGGACTGAATAGCTCAGTGACTCTAAACATGGCACTGTTACACGATGCCAGCTTTGCCACAAGTCAGCTTGTGACTTTACTTCCCTGCTAGTTCTGCCCCGGGTGACTGTAAGTGCTATTATTGTAAAACAGAAACATCCAAGAGTAACTATAGCTCAGCCACAAAGCAGCAGACCACACGAACGTACAGCGAGGCTGCTGTGTAGCATGTAAAAATAGCCTATCCTCTGCTGCATCACTTGCTGCGAATGTCCAAATTGCCTCTGGAGGCAAGAACTGCCTACTCGTCCCAGTAGGCTGTGCCTGGTACACGCTTACCGGGAAGCATCCAAGGGGCATCCGGATCAGATGCCCGAACCACCTCAACTGGCTCCTCTCAATGCGGAATAGTAGCGGCTCTACTCCGAGCTCCTCACCCTATCAAGTAGAGTGTAGCCCGCCATCCTGCGAAGAAAGCTCATTTCAGCCGCTTGTATTCGCGATCTCATTCTTTCGGTCATTACCCACAGCTCATGACCACAGGTGAGGGTTGGGATGTAGACGATCCCTCTTCCCATCACTCGTGAACAAGACCCCGAGATACTTAAACTCCTCCACCTGGGGCAGGCCTTTTCCCCTTACCTGGAGTGGGCATGGCATCCTGTTCCGGGCTAGGGCCATGGACTCAGACACTCACACACACTTGTTGCGATTTCAAGCTTACTAAAAGCTAACTAAAATGAAAAAGGAGACAAGGCACTGAGAGGCCTAGGAGGAGTTAACCACACTATGTGATGGAGAAAGAGACAATAAAACAGCCAAGCTAAATGAAAGACACTAAAGTAGATAAGTTTCTTTTATTGTGTAGCCCAAAAAAAAAAATCATCAGTAAATCAACAACATTCATGCATACATTAAGCTTAAAGGCATCACGACCAGCACATGCACAGAAAAGGTACTTCTTGATTTGACAGACTCGGCCTTGTCCACAGTCACACAGGTATTTTTTTATACCATAGTAGTTTCTTTACGTTTTACTCTCTTCTCCACATGCAAGCTGCATCTTAGGTCGCTGAAAACTGGGCTTTTGCAGAATTCATTCGAGGGTGAAGATATTCAGAAACTCCATTTTCGGTGTTTGCAGTGTAGACAGAAAAAACAGAGTTTTTTGTTTGTTTTGGTTTTATTTCCTTTGTTTACATGAGGCGATTTTCCTCAACGCTGTGTGTAGCCAAAACAGGACTTGTTAGGTGATTCCTCTCCTTCCACCTGTCTTTCTGCTCTTGTCCTTCAGATGTACGAGTACCAAGAGTAGCAGAACACATGTGCTGAGCACTGGAGCTAATAAATGTCCCTGCTGGGAAAAAAAAAACATAGAAACCATTAAGTGTTTCTGTTGATTCCTGATGATTTTGAAATGTTTTTTAGCTTTTTTTAGTGTTCTGTGTTCTAGAGAAACTTGCCGTGTGAGAATTGTTCACAGTGGTGGTGATAGAAATCAGGGGCCATATTACAGAAAGTTCTTAAGTCTGAGATCATATCTTATCTGCTTTTGTTGTCATGTTAAGACTGAAGTTAGGACAGAAGCCATTACAGAACAACAGTTCTTAAGTCTATAATCTTATTTCCAGATAAGAAAACAGTATTACAGAAACATCCTAAGTTGCCAAAATATTCTAAATATTTTCTTAACTGTAAGATAAACCCAGAGCGTCTTAACTTCTGTTTAACCGTCTGTTTCTATTGTTTTATGCAGTGTCAGGCAGCCCAGTTCACTATAACCAGCATAACGACGCTACATTTACCTCCACTAAAAACGCTGCTTTGATTTGTGAGGTTTTTTCTAACAGTGTTTAAAACCTCAGACGCTGCAGACTCAATCAACTCCGCCCCTCTGATTACCTTCGTGTGTTAATGTTGATGATGAAACATTACAGTGATGGTGGTGAATAATGAGGAGACAGAGCTGAACGTGTGTCTGTTTATTAGGAGGAGTAACGTTAGCGCGCTCGGCTAAAGCGTTTGGGAAATGGAGACTGAAACTGGAGATGGCCACACTGATAAACAGCACAAAGCGCTGAGACGATATTATTAACTATTAATTATTAATCAGATTTGCTTCTGTAATATGAATTTGTGAAAATCTTATCTTGACCTGTCAGATCTTAAGCTAAGACAAAAAGATAGGAAGCTTCTGTAATACGGCCCCAGCGGCCCACCTCTGAAAGCTCCCTCCCAGAAAGTTATTACATGAAATGGTTATGAATTCACTGTCTGATGTCTAAGACATTGTTTTATGATAGGTTTGTGATCAGGTTTTGGCTTAAATTGTATTTTAATCGATTCGTGGCATACAGGGCTTTGTTAATTACCTTTAAAAAATACCCATGTACGCGCGGACTAGGCCTCACACGTCATCGTGCATTCTCGGCTCCTCATTCGTGCATTTGTGTCTCTTCAAACTACTCGAATGTCTGAATATTCGGCCGCACTCCGAACAGAAATACGGTTTCTCCCCCGTGTGCACACGCTGGTGTGTTCTGAGGTGACCAATCTCACTAAAACCTTTCCCGCACTCTGAGCACCGATACGGTTTCTCTCCCGTGTGAATGCGCTGGTGTCTTTTGAGATTCCCCTTTTCACTAAAGCACATCCCGCACTCTGAGCAGTAGAACGGTTTCTCTCCTGCGTGAATGCGCTGGTGTCCCTGCAGGCCGCTCTGCTGGGTGAAGCTCTTCCCGCAGTCCGTGCAGCGGTACGGCTTCTCTCCTGTGTGAATGCGCTGGTGTTTTTTGAGAGTGCCTCCAACACTGAAACACTTCCCGCACTCTGAACAGCGATAAGGCCTGGCTCCGGTGTGAGTGCGGTGGTGTATTCTGAGAGCACCTCTTTCACGAAAACTCATCCCACATTCTGGGCAGTAGCAGAGCTTCTCTCCTGTGTGGATGCGCCGGTGCCGTTGGAGGCTACTCTGCAGTGTAAAACCCTTCCCACACTCAGAACAGAGGTGATTCCTCTCCTTCCATGCTTCCTTCCGCTCCTGTCCTTCAGATGTACGAGTACCGAGAGTAGCAGAAGACATCTGCTGAGTAGTCAGATCCTCATAGTTAGTCTCGTCTGATTTTGGTGGTCTCTCCTGATGCGTTTATGGAGGTACATTTGAACTGTGTGGGAAAGTGGACACATGGAGCAGAGGAAGAGCTGCAACATGATCTCATTCATTTCAGAAGGAACAAAAGAGAAAAAATGTCAGAAACTCAATGGGAAATACACAACAATCATAGTGTAATTGGAAAACTTTAACCATGTTTCTTACTTCAATATACACCGATCAGGCATAACATTATGACCACCTCCTTGTTTCTACGCTCACTTTGTAGTTCTACAGTTACAGACTGTAGTCCATCTGTTTCTCTGATACTTTGTTAGCCCCCTTTTACCCTGTTCTTTAGTGGTCAGGACCCCCATGGACCCTCACAGAGCAGGTACTATTTGGGTGGTGGATCATTCTCAGCACTGCAGTAACACTGACGTGGTGGTGGTGTGTTAGTGTGTGTTGTGCTGGTACGAGTGGATCAGACACAGCAGTGCTGCTGGAGTTTTTAAACACCTCAGTGTCACTGCTGGACTGAGAATCGTCCACCAACCAAAAATATCCAGCCAACAGCGTCCTGTGGGCAGCGTCCTGCGACTAATACACCACCACGTCAGTTTCACTGCAGTGCTGAGAATGACCCACCACCCAAATAATACCTGCTCTGTGGGGGTCCATGGGGGTCCTGACCATTGAAGAACAGGGTAACGAAGTATGCAGAGAAACAGACGGACTACAGTCTGTAACTGTAGAACTGCAAAGTGCTCCTACATGGTGGAGTCCAGTAAACCTCTAGATCTAGTTCAAATTGATGGCTACTGTCTGTGCCTTTACTCATGAGGTAGTTGGCCCACAGATAAATGAGGGATTTAATAGTCCCCTCTTCATTACCCCCTCCTTTTCCCTTCTTCATTAAATACATACAAGGTGGTCATATTCCAAACACGGTGGTCCAGTAAGTGGCGGTAACGTACCAAATAACTGGTTTGCCAACAGCCAATGAAATCTACAAGAATGAGAAGGTTTGGGCCAAATCAGAGACTAGGAAAAGGTGGATAAGATGAAACTGAAGTTGGCTTCCTTTTTTCTCCAGCTTCTTGTTCGATTTGCCCGTTCCACCTTAAATGCTGCACCATTTAAGGTGGAACGGGGAATTAAGTAAGTAAACCACATCCAGAAACAGCACTGGCTCTGGTGTAATGTAGATTTATAGATTTTAGGCCTTTATTTTCCTCTTTTTTGCCGTCCCTGATGACTAAACGTTACAACAGATGTTGGGGCTGAACGTTAGTCCCCTAACTTTCTTCATCGACTGAAACTCAGTCAGCAGTTTCGCCGCTGCTTCGATGAGAAGCACAGAGGATGCTAAACACAAAGTTATGATTAAAATGATTCAGTTAACTCACCTCAGAGCTCGTCTTGCCGATTATGGGAGCAAAAGCTTGAGTTAAATGTAATCATTCCTCTCCTCTAAAACGAAATTAAGTGAAAAATCCAGCCTACACCAGTTTAGTTAACTGGGATTCGCCTGGAAACGTCTGTCAGGTATAAATAAATGTAGCCGAGCCGCTCAGCTAACCGCGCTAGCAAGCCGCCTCCTGAGCCACGATTGGCTACTGGCATTCCCCTCCTGCGCCGCGATTGGTTAACACCATTTCGAGCGCTCTGCCGATTGGATACCTGAGCAGTCATTCACATCACCACGGCAACCGTAGAAAAGTGAAACTTCCAGAGCATCGGAGACTGTTTTTTCGCCTCCTGCGCTGTGATTGGCTAGTATACCGCCTCCTGCGCTGTGATTGGCTAGTCGTTGAGCTCTCGTCTAAATCACCGTAGCAACCGTAGAACACAGTGGAGTTTGGAAGAAGCCAAGATTCCGAGCACTCTGGAGTCGATTCCGACTCTCGACTCCTGCGGCGGGAATCGATGGAGTCGACTCCTCGACTCCGCTTAATTTTAACGAAGACGGGCTGGTAAAAGGAAAACGTTTTTTAGATTAAACTGTCTTAAACGTAGTTTCGAGTAGCTTCAGATTGTAGTGATGCAATGAAATTTGGGGAAATTTCACAAAATGAGGTGCGGAGTGATGTACCGAGACAATCATTACAGCAGTCAGAATCATTTGAAAACATTTTCAAATTCAGTTCTTTGAAAAAGAAAAAGCTTAAGCTTTAAGTTAAGTTATCTTGTTCCTGTTTTTAAGAGGCTGAAGTTGGCTTCGTATTCGCCAGCTTTATCAGAATTTTCCGGGCCACCTTAAGTGAGACTGTAGTTGAATGTATATAAGGGGAACTCTACCGATTTTCCAAAAATCTACATAATTAAATGGTTGAGATGTAAACAAAGTCACTCAGAGTGGTTTGATGTGAAATGCTGTGTTCTAGAGAAACTTGCCATATTATAATTGTTTACAGTGGCGGTGATAGGAACCAGACATCTAGAAGCTCCCTCACAGAAAGGTGTCTGATGTCTAAGTCATTGTTTTTTAATAGTTTTGTGATCAAGTTTTGACTTAAAATGTATTTTAATGTATTCAAGGCAGAGGGATACATGCAGGGCTTTGCAAAACAAAATAGTGCCCAAAGAAAAGATGTATGACTATTTTACCATCATCAACATTACATATAAAAACTCACACTTGTGTAGGTTTAATAGTAAATACAACGTCTATATCTGTGTTGTAGACATGGTGACCCCTGGTTTCTATCACCACCACTAAAAACATAAGGGGCTGTAAGTTTCTCCACAATGAATCCTTCCACATCAAACCATTCTGAATGACTCTGTTTACATCTCAAATATTTATTTATTCAGAAATTTTGACAAATTGGTGGAACCAATGCTTAAAAACCCATAGAAACCATTCAGCGTTTCTGTTGATTGTTGTTTTTGATGTGTTTGGGCTTTTTAATAGGTTGATATCACAATGTTAAGGTTCCTAATGGTTTAACAGGTGACCAATGGCTGATTCTAAATGCATTTGATGGTTTCCTAATAGGATCTAAAGGTGTTTTACAGGAATCTAGTGGTCTCTATTGGAAACCATTAAATCAATTCTCACTAGAAAGCCAAACCATTCGATTTTAATCCTCATGGTTTCTAATGGTGGTTTTTCAGCAGGGTAAACAAACTCAGGCTACTCAAACTCAAACTCTTCACGGTTTTACATTTGCCTCCATCAAAATGTCCCTGGAGTCGATTATAATAACAAAGACGCAGTCGACAGAGTCGAAGAGTCGACTCCAAGCATTTCGAATCACTAGCCAAGAATCGACCCCGACTCCCAGGCATGCTGGAGTCGAAGAAACGATTCTTTTGGAATCCCCGATCACTACCCTGCTGCTGTCCTCAGACTGCACCCTCTGGATCTCTCAGCGTGTATAATAATTGTATTTTATACTGCCTCCTCCATTGTTCTAGATCTGTTTCCATGAGGCAGAACTGCCTCAGCCCTGCCCCGGGAGAAGAGCCAGTAGGTCGGTATAAGTTCAACAACCTTCATCGCTCTTGTTCCATGTTCCATGATTATTTTGAACAGCAAGCAAACATAAATGTCAACAGTAGGGGGCGCTAACGTAATACACATTTTAAAAAATAGAACCATCTTAAATAGAACCACTTTTTGCATGCTTAATGGTTCTTTGCATGGTGAAATGGTTCTTCAGATTGATAGAGAATGTGTTTGTGTATGGTTAGATGTAGTACCAAAAAGGGTTCTTCTATTGTTACGTGCTTGACATCATAACAGAACTCTTTTTGGTTCCTCTATAGTTAATATAATCTTGCTCCATGGAAAGCACCATTTAAGCATGCGAAGGGTTCTTTAAGTGTTCATTGTTCTATATAGAACCATTTTCTTTATTTAAGAACCCTCTTTTTAAAGCGTGTACTTTCTTTTTATCATAAAAAAATCACTGATTAATGTGAGGCAGTGTGGACGTTTTAAAGCTGGGCTCACACATTTGACAACATATATAACGAATCAGATTTCATACTTTTTCATGTTTTGAATTTACACTGTGGGCAGCAAACCCAAGAGTAGATGGAGTCTCTCATATTCCTTTTCACTCACTCATGCTGTCCCCATCTTACAGACATTGTATTTATCAAATACAAGTATTCAAGTGCAGGTTTAATGAGGATAAGATCAGGAGAGTTGAACAAAAGAGCCAGGGAAGGCCAACCTTATCAAAAGGAGGGGCGTTGTCAGCAGCAGATGTGACAGTATACATCCAGGAAAGGTTTAGAACGGGTCAAGGCTCGCCACTTTGACAAAAATGCATCAGCAAGTAGTCCTACAGTTTAAGAATAAAGTTCCTCAGCCAGGGATTGCAAGGATTTTAGTTATTGTATTATATAGTTGGTGCATAATAACATCAGAAGTTTCAGGGAATCCAGAGAAATCGTTGTGCGTAAAGGGAAAAACTGAAAACCACAACTGAGTGCCTATCATTTTCCCTCAGACGCATTAAAAACTGGCATGCTTCTGTGATGGATATCATTACATGGGCTCAGGAATACTTAAACAAACTTTTGACTAAAACACACCATCCGTCACTGCACCACAAATGCAAGTTAAGACTTCACTATACAGCCATATGTCAACAGCGTCCAGAAACACCGCCGACTTCTCTGGGCTGGAGCTCTTCTGAAACGAACTGATGCTCGGTGGAAATGCGTATCGTGGTCAGACAAGTCAAACTTACAGATTGTTTATGGAAATGATGGACGTTGTGTTCTCTGTGCCAAAGAAGAAAAAGACCATACAGATTGTTACCAGCGTAAAGTTAAAAAACCAGCGTCTGTCATGGTGGCTGGCTATTCTGGGTTCTACTTGCACATCTGTGCACCATCTATGCTGAACTCATTTTGGAGCAACATAATGCAGCCATCTAGACAACGTCTTTTTCAGGCACGTCCACACTTATTAACTCTAAGCTAGATTTTAGTTTCCATTGAAAACATATGCAAAAGACAACAATGAAGGACGTACAGTTGGGCCTCTTAATACTTCTGTAGAATGGGAAAAAAATCTGCTTTCAAACCTGGATCGGTTTGTGTCTTCAGTCCCAGTTGACTTTTAAGCGCTGTTAAAAGGAAAGGAGTAGTAAACATGTTCCGGTCCCGACTTTAGGACGTGTTGCAGGCATCAGATTTGGAATGAGCGTCCATTTACAAACAACAATGAAGTTCATAATGTAAAACAGAAAATATTGTGTTTTTGTACCATTTTCAACTGAATACATGTCAAACAGAGTTTTATAAACAGTGCACAGTGCACACTGTGACATCTGTTTTGAAATTGAATTAGTAAGAAAATACTTACCCATATTATTGATTTCCTTATGGGCTTTTTGGGGTCAGCAGTGTCCAAAAGAAGCAAAGCCCTTTTCTGTAGTTACACTCAAACAATTTACATTAAATTCAGAAATCATGTTGGTTTTCTATATTAGAGACAAAATAATACAGTTTTGCATTGATACTAGATAATTAATCTTTTCTTCAAGATTTAGAGGCTTCTAGAGGCTTTACCTTCACCAAGAAACCAATCTTGGGACAGATGTTTGTTCTATTTGAGCGTATAAGACTTTGATCCCTCCAGACGACTGAATGGCAGACAGGCCTTTCTTAGAAGTCAGGCTGAGAATGGCTGACAGTTTGTTCCCTTTTCTAAAAAAAAACAGGCAAGCTGCTGTTTCACTCTGTTTTTCCTTTGAAATGAAAGATATTAATAGGGAGTCTGTTCCCCTTCTTCTGCGGTAACAGCCTCTACTCTTCTGTTGGAACATTGCTGTGAGGATTTGATTGCATTCAGCCACAGGAGCATTAGTATGACTTGAAGGATTTTAATAGTGGGTTTGTGCTACAGTAACAGCTTATACTCTTGTGGAAAGGCTTTTAGATGTTGAAACATGGCTGTGAGGATCTAATTGAGCATTACTGGGGTCAGATACTGATGTTGGATGGTCAGTTCTGGATCACTAACTCATCCCAAAGGTACTGGATGGAGCTCCATCACTCCAGAGAACACCGGTGCTAGGTAGAATTAGCATGTTTGTAAGGTTGACAGCACATGCTTTAAACCCACCATCTAAATAAGTGCTAATATTAAAAAACACAAATTATAGTTTGTATATTATGATTGAGTCACTATAAAACTTGAATGTTGTTTTTTGAAACCATTATAGTGAGTTCTTAATTGTTTTAATGTAAAAGCCAGTTTATTATTTGAAACTGTGCATTTTTTGTAAAAACAACAAATTGTTTCAAATGATGGAAGTAAAATCTTCCAAAATTTGATGTCAAAATCAACTGAAATTTTCTTACTAATGCATTTAGAGTTATTTACATTAATAGTCATTGAATTGACTGATCATTGATTTGTCCCCAGATCCAATTTATTCAAATCTGTAGAATAATTAACATCTATTACATCTATTATCTGACAATTTAGTAAAATACGATCATTTCATTTTTTCTAATGAAGAAGAATGGTGGAATGTAAATTAAGCGGTCATATTCTTGGTCAGTTTTTCATTGTTTTCCTCATTATTTGATAGGGATGTCAAGCTCAACAAACTAAACATGGATGAAGTACTTATTTATTACATTTTCATGCATGATAATAAGATATTTAGGTTCTTTTGTCATCTACAAATCCCCACAGGCATCATACAGAGTATTAACAACCATTTCATGTACGAGCTCTCGGGAATGTAGCTTTTAGAGGCGGTAACTTTTTCGGATGTCTGGTTCCCATCACCACCAGTCTGAATAATTCTGAGTCGATAGGTTTCTCTTTCAGATTTCACATCAAACCATTCTAACCCTGCTGGAAACAGACCATTCTAACCATTAGGATTAAAACCTGATGGTTTTGCCTTATTGATGCGAATTGACTAAATAGTTCCCTGTAGGACACCTTTATATTCCATTAGGAAACACATCAAATGCACTTGGAATGAGTCCCAGAACACCTGTTAAACCATTACACCTCATTGTCACTGCTGGACTGAGAATAGTCCACCAACCAAAAATATCCAGCCAACAGCGTCCTGTGGGCAGCGTCCTGTGACCACTGATGAAGGACTAGAGGATGACCAACACAAACTGTGCAGCAGCAGATGAGCTATCGTCTCTGACTTTACATCTACAAGGTGGACTGACAAGGTAGGAGTGTCTAATAGAGTGGACAGTGAGTGGACACAGTGTTTAAAAACTCCAGCAGCACTGCTGTGTCTGATCCACTCGGACCAGCACAACACACACTAACACACCACCACCACGTCAGGGTTATTGCAGTGCTGAGAATGATCCACCACCCAAATAGTACTTGCTCTGTGAGGGTCCATGGGGGTCCTGACCACTGAAGAACAGGGTAAAAGGGGGCTAACAAAGTATGCAGAGAAACAGATGGAGTACAGTCTGTAACTGTAGAACTACAAAGTGCACCTATATAGTAAGTGGAGCTGATAAAATGGACAATGGAAGTGGTCATAATGTTATGCTTGATCTGTGTATATTATATTTATACTCGCATAACCACTATACCGCCCTTCTGCACTTTATATGTAAATAATACTGTATTTTGCACTGGTTAGATACTAACTGCATTTCATTGACTCTGTACCTGAACTCTGCACAATGACAGTGAAGTTGAATCTAAATCTAATAAAGTTGGTAATCTGTGGTTGTGCTGTGTGCCCCCTGTTGGCAGAAACGTGTAATTTCCGCCCTCCGCCCATCTGTATCTGCGTCACAGCCAAAACACTGCTGCTCGGGTGAGGACATCACAGCTCCGAACCACCGTTCGCCCTCTACCCCCTTTTTCTTCTGGAAATCGTTCCCTAGACAGCTTCATCATGGTCAAAGTGACGTTCAACACGGCCCTGGCCCAGAAGGACGTGAAAAAGGACAGCGAGACGCTCATTCCGGACGGCAAGGTAGTGTCTGTTTTTCACCATAACAAAAGCGGCTGAAGTAACTAAGAGACCGACTCCACGAAGAGCTGCCGGGGGGATTAAAGAGGCTGTGGAGCGATTAAGAGGCGGAATGTCTCCGTATTCTCGGTGTAAAGAGAGCTGCAGTGCGCGACAGACAGCTTTCACCACATGTCGAACACACAGCGTCCGATATTTGGTCTTTCTTTCCGCGTCTTGTTCGATCTTCCCGTTCCACCTTAAACGGCGCTGCAGCTCAGGCTGCAGCCCGAACAGACGCCGGAGCGCCGAGCGCCGCTGCTGCACCACTTAAGGTGGAACGGAACGATCGAATTCGAAGCGCTGCTTGAACACGATCCAAAAACTAAAGCTGATCTTGAGGCTTTACTTTGACCGTGAAACCAATCCCGGGACGGATTTTGGTTCTGCTTGAGACCTCGGCGGAGTGTCCGACAGGCCTTTCCTAGAAACCAGAGATCAGAAATGGCTGACGGCTTGTTTGTTATGGGTTCCCTTTTCCGGAAAAACAGGCGAGCTGCTGTTTCGCTTTGTTTTTCTTCAGAAATGAGGGACATTAATAGAGGGTTTGTTCCAGCATTTCTGCAGTAACAGCTTTAGACTCTTCCGGGAAGGCTTTCTAGGTGTTGGAACATTGCTGTGAGGATTTGATGGCAGCCTCAAGAGCGTTAGTGAGGTCAGGTACTCATGTTGGATGATCAATTCTGGAGGTACTGGAGAACCCAGCTCCACTGCTCCACAGCCCAGTGCTGGGGACCCACGCTCGGTATTGGGCATGGTGACCTTAGGCTTGAGATTAAAGGGAAATTCAAGTAGCCACATAATTAAATGGTTATTCAGAGTGGTTTGATGGTGATAGGAACCAGACGTCCTCCTCTGAAAGCTCCCTTACAGTAAGTTATTACATGAAATGGCTTCCTGATGCCTGACACGCTGTTTTACCATAGTTTTGAGAAAATTTGGAGTACATGCAGGGAAAACAGGCCTCATCTCAGATTAATAAAGCAATAAGCCATGAGAGCCTGTGGGTTACTGTGACGTTGGCCAACATGAAATATGATTAAATACACTGTTTCAGAAAATAATTTAAGTTATTATTAATAATAATCGACATCAACAAGTACTCCGCCAAGAAACGTAGTTCCTTTAGAGTGTGGTATAGACCACTGTAGTCGTGCGTCATTCTGTAGTCCTCGTTATGCCCATATTAGGAACTTCTGAGCTCCATTTCTTTATGGTCAGAATGAAGAGGGTTCGCCTCTATCGCCCCCTGTGTTCAGTAAAACTGTTCAGAACCCGATACGTTTTGTTCTGTGTACATTCTTCTCCCGAATACCACTGGATCCTCCGAATTACAAGGTCGTTAAAGAGCTATAATACTAATATTGCTACATGCGAGCTAAAGCTACTGCGCATCAATTTGATGTCACTGAGCTACACAAAACTAAGGCGGGCTGTGGTGGTGCTCTGACCAGCTGTGCTACCTTATCAAAATGTTCTACTGTAGCCCATATTTACAGGTATACCTGTAAATAAAACCTCTAGGTAGGATATTTTGATAGACTAAAACTCCGTATCAAAAATACTACCAGCATTAAAACTACGAGGCTGAATTTAGCTTCTTTTTTCTCAGCTTCTTGTTTGAACGTCACTGCTGCGCCATTTAAGGTGGAACAGGAAAAGTCGAACATAAAACTGGTGAATGTCCTGAGAAAATGTCCTCAGAAAAATAATAATTAGGATATTCCGAGAGCCGAAATCAGTTTATCAGGGGGTGATAACCCGATTAAGGAGGCTGCCAGTCTAATGACGTGAGTTCAGTCTTATTTAGCACCAATCCAGCGGCGCCTCTCTTCTCACGCTGGGGCTGAATCTCAAACGGCTCCCTGCTCCCTACATAGTGCACTAGGTTGGAGTTTAAATACTGGATACTGCAGCCCAACAGAGCAAAATACAACTAAGAAACAGTCATTTGGGATTCAGACACATCCACACTCGATAATAATGGTCTGTTTGGCTGTAGAGGCTTGAATTTCGAAGCTTTCGTAGCTAGAACACTATGTAGGGAGTACAGAGCCGTTTGGGATTCAGCCTGGGTTTGACGCGACTTCTGACTGAAACACGAACGTTTGAGGTGTGTAAGACATTCAAGTGACATTATTTAGACTTTTATGCTGCCGTATTTCAGTTAATCGTACCGTAAGTGCTTTAACTCAAGCCTGTGATATTAATGATGGAGTTGTTTAGGATGTTTGCTATATTTTAGCCTGTTAGGTAGCTGACCAGCCTAGTTCTAGATAAGAAAGTAAGTCGCCAGACCCTCAGTTTAAACAAATAACGGGTTCTTACTTCATCAATGTACTCGATGGTCCATGTGAGCAGCGTTAAGATTAATCCATTAACTTCACAAGGGTTTTTTGTGCCATGGCGCAGTGATACAGAGCTCAGTTGTTGTGAGGCGGTCAGTGTGCGTATATTATGCCAATAATGACGCAGCTCAGAAGGTTCACTGATGGGTTTGGATGGTAATTAAAAGGTCTATATTTGTGTTGTAGTCATGGCGACCCCTGGTTCCTATCACCACCTCTGTAAAGACATCTGAACCATTTCACACCAAACCACTCTGAACGTCTCTGTTTACATCTCACTCACTGAGCTATGGAGACACACTGAGAAAATCACTGATTAAAGCCGGAGCTGCTCGTTTAACGTCGTTTACGCCCACAAGCAGCTCAGGAGAGACGACTGAGCTCTGATAGAGGCTTCTGTCTTTTCTTTGAGTTAATGTTTAGCAAATTCCGCTGACAGGAAGCAGCGCTGAGTGAACGTCTCTTCTCTCTCTCTCTCTCTCTCGTTCTCTCTCTCTCTCATTCACTCTCTTTCTCTCTCTCTCTCTTTCTCTCTCATTCACTCTCTTTCTCTCTCTCTCTCTTTCTCTCTCTTTCACTCTCTTTTTCTCTACTCTTCTCTCCATTCTCTCTCCTTTTTCTCTACCCCCACCCTCTCTCTCTCTCTCTCTCTCTCTCTCTCTCTCTCTCTCTCTCTCTCTCACTCGTTCACTCTCTCTATCTCTTGTTCTTTCTCTCTCTCTCTCTCTCAAGTTCAAGTTCAAGTTTGCTTTATTGACATGACAAATATACATTTGTATTGTCAAAGCATAACAAAAATGGTCTATATATCAAAATTACCAAAAAAATATATAAATAAATAAATAAATAAAATTATAAATAAATCAAAATATAAATCAAGATTAATATATGATGATAAAAAGGAGAAAATGTTAATCATCAATTAATAAGTATATGGAATAATAAAACATTGGACGTTTTCAAAAGAAAAAGGACATCTATGTTACATATGTACATATGTAATATAGATGTCCTTTAATCAGTGATTTTCTCAGTCTCTCTCTCTCTTTCTCTCTCTCGTTCACTCTCTCTCTCTCTCTGTCTCTCTCTCTCACTCGTTCACTCTCTCTCTCTCTCTCTCTTTCACTCTTTTCTCTACTTTTCTCTCTCTCTCTCTCTCTCTCTCTCAGACCCTTTCTGTCTCTTTCACTCTTTTTCTACCCCTTTTTCCCACCTTCTTTCTTTCTCTCTTTCTCGCTCTCTCAGCCCCTTTCCTTCACTCTTCCTTTTTTCTACCCTTTTTCTTTCCCTCTCACTCTCTTGCTCTCTTTTTTCTCTACCCCCTTTTCTCACCACCTTCTCTTTATCGCTCTTTCTCTCTCTCCCTTTTCTCTCCTTTCTCTCTCTGTTTCTTTCTCTCTCTCTTTCTCTTTCAGCCCCTTTCTGTCTCTTTCGCTCTCTTTCTCTCTCTCTTTCTCACTCTCTCTCAGCCCCTTTCTTTCACTCTTTCTCTCTCTCAATCTCGTTCTTTCTCATTCACTCTCTCTCTTCCTCTGCCCCTCATGGTCTCTCTTTCTCTCCCTTTTTCTCTAACCCCTTTTCTTCCCACCCTCTCTCTGTCTCCCTCTCTCCCTCTTCCTTCCCCTTCTCTCTTTATCTCTCTCTCTCTCTTTCAGTACCCTCCACCTTCTTTCTTTACTCTGTCCTCACTGGATGAGGGAGAGATGGGCGCTTTGCTTGGTCCTCCTAGGTCGAGGGAGAGATGGACGTCCTGAGTGCTGATGCTGTCTGACGCATGTTTAGTGTCAGGGATTAAAGGCTAATCACTTTATAATGAAAGCGAAGGCTTCTGAAAGAGGAAGAGCAGCACATCACGGGCTCACCAGCTGCATGAGAAAACAGATGATCACATAAACAGGAAGCTGTTTGGAGGAACAGAGACCATTAATGCAGGTCAGAGGGAGAGATTAGTGCGGCCCGTCCAGTCCTGGTGCATTGACATTGGTGTAAATGACCGTTAATCAGCTGACCCCACTCAGGCAGACGCTGCAGTGAACGCTGTGTTCGTACTGCGGTTAGTTTGTGGTCTGTATGTGGTTAGTTTGCGGCTGCTGTGGACAAGAGTGGACAGTATGGTAAAAATATAATGTTGCAATACTGGAAGACGTTTTCACATCACACATCAATACGCTGTATAGGATCATACACTGATATTTAGCTCTTCTGAAGACTTGACCTGCTAGAAGGACAGTGATGCTTCAGGATTTGCAAAAATATTATTTAAGAAGGAACAAGTAGTAGTAAGGAGTATAACAATACAATGAGTGTGTTTACATGCACTTAATAATCCGATAACTGCAGAAAATCAGATTTGTCAGTAATCTGATCAACACATTTACATGCACTTGAGTGATCAGATAATGGGGAAACTCTGGGTCTACGTGAGTCAGACAGTAATCAGATTTCTGCTTTAAAACCAGCCAATAAACTCTCAGAAGAAGACGTGACGTAAACGTAACGTAGAACTCAAAACTTCATGCTGTGGCTTTTTTTAAAACATGAAAATATGAACAGAACCTGAAAATATGAACTTACATCATCTAGAAGATGAAGAATATTTAAATCCTTTATTTCGTG